TTATTTGACAGCTGTCATGTGGAAAGATGTTGCTAATGAATACAAGTTAAAATCAACAGGAGATTTAAATACANCTTCTCAAACAACAACATGATCTAAATATTGCCTACATTCCTACTAATTCGAAAATGTCAGAATTATGGACAAGTGTCAGTTCAGAATTTTATAAAGCAAAGATGGTGAATTTTTATGTGTTTGTTCGAGGTTATGGGCAAAGATTTCACATTCTTGAAGATTTTGATATCATCATCACGTCCAGAAACTTGTTTTTGGAAAAGTTTAGATACTACCAGAAGGGTAGTGGAAAGAGAACTGAGAAGGGTCATTTATTCGAAACTTCTGACTTTGAATTTATAAATGTTCACCCATTTTCCGTTTACCAGGTGGATGAGGCTGCAACTGGCTTGAATTTGAGTGTTATAGTTGCTAAACCATCATGTGAATCATCAACTCTTCTTTCGTTTGATTACGAACCTTCACTTTTCAACTCATGGCAAATAATGAATTTGACAGAAGGGAAAATGATTTGTGATTACGACATGGAGTGCTTGAAAAGATATAACAAGATCGAGTTTAAATTGATATCTATGGTACGTTGGTGATTTATTTCTAACAATCAAAAGGTGAATCAACAAATTATTCGAAATGAAATTTCATCAGTCTACGGATTGACCAGTAATTCCTCAATTTCCCAATTAGAATCTCTTTACCTTCCACCATCATGCCACAATTGTCAAAATGAATATTGTGCCGATCTCATCTTTAACGATTTCGAATATTGGTTAATTCCACAAACTTTAATTGTAATCATTCATTTTCTTTTCCTTTTTTGTACTGGAGCATTGAAACAGCCATCAGTCAAGAGAAGATTATTCACGCCCTATTTACCAATCACTATTTTATATATCGAGTTGGCTATTTCTGATTTGTTTTGGCCAATTTGCAATCAATTGTTGACAAGTATTGGAATTATTGTTAATTTTTGCATTCTAGTTCATTTGTTTACCTATTTAAGGTTATATTATTTGAGGAATTTGTATGGAGTATTTTCATTATCAAAGAATATCAATTCTAAACTGTCAGGATTAGGTGGTATAATTCCTGGAATGTTAGTTACATTAATTTTACCATTTTTCTTAAGTTTTTTGGTTTCTGTTCCATATATTGCAATCTATTTCATGGTTAATTTGGCTCTCAATTTAGTATTCAACATTATTCTTGGCATTTCACTTGGTGTTGCCTGCATCATTGGATTTATTGTAATCTTAATTGACTTGGTTCTCAATAGGAAGAAGTGGAAAGAGAAGGGTTTGAGATATATGCTTTTCTTTGACGATCCATTCCTCATTAGAATTGACATGACCTTGTTAACAATTAATTTGATTTTTATCATTTTGATTGCATCGGTAGGAGCTGTCTATCGACATGCTTCATACTTTTTCAGAGTGATGGTTTTTATGATATTTTGTTTGGTGAGTGGTGGAAGTTGTGTGATTAAATTATTGGTTGAAAAGATGAGAGGAAATTCGAGGGATCACCAGGGAGAGGAGGATGTGATTGACACCTATCTGAAACATGATGATTTTAAGATGCTGTTTAGGGAATATTGTGTGAAGGAGTTGTCGTTGGAGAATTTTAATTTTTATATCATGTTAATTGATTTGAAAGCAAAGGCAAATAGGAGGTTGACCACTGAGATGATGGATACTATTCAGAAAGAGTATTTGTCATCTTCAGCTATGTTCGAATTGAATATTTCAAGTCAGTGTAGACAATCTTTTTTCTTATTAAGGAAAAATCTCGAAAAGCAAATTGCCAATTTAGAATTATCATCTAATAAGGATATGGCCTCTGATTCTGGTGAATCTCCATGTTTGAGAATTCATGATTTAATTTTATTGTTCGAATATGAAGTGTTAACAAATCTCAAAGATACATTCTCAAGAATGGAGAAAACAAGTGAATTCAGAACATGGCTTCATACTCTCAAAATTCAAAAACAAAACAACATTTGTTAACAAATATCTGTTCTCTTTTTCAAATCTGAAACTCAAATAGGATTTAATTACTAAATGAGAAAGTAAACTATAAACATCCTCAATTAAGGAAGTTTGAATTAAATATCTAATAGATACAGCCTTAATAATGGAGAACAATTCTCAGAACATGATTCAAAAACAGTGTTAACTTTATTGTTGCTTTTGCTTCTTACACAGTTGCATTATAGCTTGACTTAGATCTGAGATCATATTGTTTTGAGCTTCTACTAGTTGGTAAAGTTTGGAAATATCTGAACTATTCTTCTCAATTAGAAGAGTCAAACTCCTTATTCTACTATCCTCGCTTATCTTTCTCTTTCTATATGGTAAATCACTAGTAATACAATCAATATGTGGAAGGGAAGAATCTTTCATTGGAGAAGTGGCACTTTCTTGTTGAGGAACTGGAGGACTTGACAATGTTAAATCAGCAAAGCTGGGCAATCTTTCTTTCACAATACTCGATGCAACATTAGCGAGGGAGGAGAGAGGATCAGAGGAACTTTGGTTAGTGCTGGAGATTGGAGATTGAATGATTGCTTTTTGCTTTAGTGAAGGTGGTATGGTAATAACTTCATCTTCAATGACGTTGGAAAGTGTGCTTATTTCTTGCTCACCTCCTTCATCAGATGGTGAATCATTCGATGAGGTGGTAGAATGAGATTGATGTACAATTTCAGATTGCTTGGATGCAGATGATGGCTCTTTTCTTCTCTTTGCCATGTCCAACATCATCTGACCTCTACTTCTTGATCTTACCCAGAAAGAATCAGAAACACATATTAGTTTGTTATTCGAATCATAGATATCAATGTATGCCACCCTACTACTTGTATTACCCTTCATGTTATTGATTTTAGACACTACTTGAAACTCGACGACATGTTTTCTTGTTTTTGGATCAAACGTGAAGAATGCTTCAGTCACAACTTTTCCCCCAGCAGAATCTTTCAACTTGAGAAAGCTCTTACAATTCTCAAAGTCATTACCTTCAATCACAAGATAATCCTTGATGCTACAATTATGAGTTGTTGAGTGTGGATGTTTAGTTTTTGGATCATTCAATCTCCATCCTTCTCTACACTCAAAAACAACAGCATGCTGTTGTTGAGCACCATTCACAAAGTGAAGACAAGGCTTAGAAATGGGAAATGATGAAAGGGAATCATTGGTAGTCTTTGGGAGAAGAGTTTGTGATTGGTAAGGTGATTGGTTAGTATTTACATTATCAAGCAAATTCATTTCAGTGATGGAGGTAGTGGTGATGGTCTGAGGAGATGATAAATGATTGGATGGATATTGATCGTCGGAATCAGTTAATGTACAAGATCCTGAAGAAATCACTTGAAAACTTCTATTCGATTCTGATGGTAACAATGTTGAATTGAGAAAGCCTTTGTTATTTAACAAGGATTCTTGCTTAATATTTGATTGATTGTTGGAACAACTTGTATCACTACTAATAGAAGTATTATTACTATTACTACTACTACTATTCAACAGCAGCCGAGGCTTCGTTGCAGGTGGTGTTGTTGTGTTGGTGGTGGTGGTGTAACTTGAACGAGGACTGTTTTCAGCAGAGGTGACCATTCAAGCCTTTTCTTGAAACCTTTGGCTTTTGCGCTTTTTTTTTTAACTGAAATTACTTCAAAAACAATGCTCGGATTCATCAATTCCGTTCTAGAGCAAAGAATTTTCCATCCATCATCACTCTAGCAGCATGAATTGATTGAAAATTGTACTTGCAATGAAATAAATAGAAATCGGTTTGTTTTTGATGGAGGTTGGTAATGAAAATGTTGTATGGAGCAGAATGAGGTTGAACCTCTTGATGATGACGACAGCACACGTGTGTTTTTTATGGTAAATCAATCTGTTATGGATATTTGAAAGTTTAGGAAGAATCGATATCGTTTCGAAACTGATTGAATCACAATAAATACCAGTTAAATGCATTTTAACATGGGAAGCCAATAAGAGACATCATCATCATTGAAAATAATGAAAATAACACCTTTCAATTTTCATCATCGGAGCAAAAATAATAAAAATTAAATAATATTCGTGATGAGCTAAAAATCAAGTTGTTTGATGAAAAAAAAATGTTGAAACGATTCCTCAGTGCTAGTGTTGCTCATCATCACTATTCGAACACAACCTCATCATCAACAATACTCTCATCGGTAATTCCTTCAGGTAAAAATTTTGCCAATAATGCCTCTTCATTAGTATTAAATTTGAGAAATTATTCTTCGTCATCTTCTCAAGATAAGAAAGTTTCATCTCTAAAACACACAACACGTCAAAAGGATATTAAAAGTAATCAAGATAGTACGGATTCTCTCGGAAATATTATGTTTGAATTACCAAGTGATAAAATCAGAAATGTAGGAATTATTGCTCATATTGATGCTGGAAAAACAACAACAACTGAAAGAATGCTTTATTATAGTGGATATAGTTCTCATTTGGGAAATGTTGATGATGGTGATACAATTACTGATTATATGCCACAAGAACAAGAAAGAGGTATCACCATTACAAGTGCTGCAATTACATTTAAATGGAAGGATCATAGAGTTAATTTAATTGATACTCCTGGTCACGTTGACTTTACTTTTGAAGTGGAAAGATCAGTGAGTGTTTTGGATGGTGCTGTTGCAATTTTTGATGTTGTCAATGGTGTGGAAGCTCAAAGTAAGACAGTTTGGAGACAAGCAGATAGATATAATGTACCAAGAATTGTTTACATGAATAAGATGGATAAAATTGGAGCTAATTTTGAAACAGCAATTGAAACCTTGTTGGAAAGATTGCCAAGTTGTCCAACCCCAATTCCTATTCAATTACCTAGTGGAACAGAAGATGCTTTCAATTCAGTTTTTGATTTGATTGAATTGAAGGAATATGTTTTCACAGGTGATGAATCTAGAACTTATAACATTAAACCAATTCAGGAAAAGGATTTAGCAAGAGTTACGGAAGCAAGAGAAACAATGATTGATACTATTGCTAGTCTTGATGATGAATTAGGAGAAAAATATTTAAACGAGGAAGAAATTACATCTGAGGATATTCACAATGCTGTCAGAAGAGTTACAATTGAGAGAAAGGGTATTCCAATTTTCTGTGGAAGTTCATTGAAGAATAAGGGAGTTCAACAAGTTATGGATGGTATTGTGAGATATCTTCCTGGTCCAAAAATTGATGAAGCTTCAAAGCAAAGAGAATTGAATGCCTTTGCCTTCAAGGTTATTAACGATGTACAAAGAGGGTTATTGGTATTCGTTAGAGTTTATAGTGGTTCTGTTGATATCACTAAATCTCCAGCAATTTTCAATCACTCAAAGAATCAAAAGGAAAGAATTGGTAAAGTTTATCAAATGCATGCCAACGTTCCTCAAGAAGTCAAGAAAATCTCAGCTGGTAACATTGGTGTCCTTGTTGGTTTGAAAGAAACAGGTACAGGTGATATTCTTGTTGCTAAACAAGGATCCAAGACTGACCCGTCAATTCCACAACTTTCTGTTCCAAAACCTGTTTTCTTCTGTTCAATAGAGGCTGAAAATAGTGCAGATCAAGATGCTCTCGATAATGCCTTGTCAATTATGCAAAAGGAAGACCCAAGTTTACAAATTACAAATAATGAAGAAACCAATCAAACACTTGTGAGTGGTATGGGTGAATTGCATTTGGAAATTATTAAGGATAGAATTTTAACAGAATACGGTATCAATGTTGAAATGGGTGAGGTACAAATTTCATACAGAGAAACACTTACTGTCGAATCACCAGTCACATATTTGGAATTTGATAAGAAACTCACCACTGGAAAGAGACTTTATGCTAGGTTGTGGATTAAAGTTGGTCCTGCCGAATCTGGTGTAGGAAATAACGTCGAGTTTGATTGGGATGAGGATAAATGTACTCCAGACATGAAGACTATCAAGAAATTTGAAAAATCCATTAGATATGGTCTTGAAAGTAGTTTCATGAGAGGTGCTCTCTTGGGATATCCAATCGAAGAAATCAAGGTTACAGTTGTTGGAGCATCAGTTTTGGATGAGAATAGAGAACAAATCGTTGTAGGAGAAGAATTACAAAATCAATCATTTATTCAATGTGCCCACTCATTGTTTACTAAGATTTTGAAGGACAATGAACAGAGTGCCAGACTTTTGGAACCATATATGAATTTGGAAATTGAAACAGATAGAGCATATATTGGTACAATTATGTCAGATTTGACAGGTTCTAGAAGAGCTAAGATTAAGGGTATGCAAGCTAGAAATGACCTCACAGTTATTTCAGCAGAAGTACCACTCAGTGAAATGATTGGATACAGTTCTCATTTGAGATCACTCACATCTGGTCAATGCCACTATCATATGGACTTTGCTAGATATGAAACTTTACAACAAGAATATCAAAGAAAGCTCATTACAAAACTGAGAGGTTATTAGGCTCTTTATAAATTAAATACTTTCTTTTTGATACTCTTCTGTTGTTACTCGTTTGTAATTAGATCCACAAATTATACAAGAAACGGAAAATCTTTTAGCCCAAGGTGACAGTGGCATGTAGGTGCTTATTCTGCCACAGAACTTGCATTCCTTAATTGGCATGCTATTACTTGGAGTACTAGATTGTCTCTTTTGTGGGAATTCAACAATAGGACCTTTCTTAGTGATACAATCATAAAACTTTTTGTGTGGTAAAATATCATACCCTTGTTTGAAAAGGAATCCTCTAAAGTTAGGTGCAAGATCCAAAAACTCAATATATTGTTGTGTTGAATATTGACAAATATACTCATTAGATCCAAAATTAGAGGATTGTAAAATTGATTTCCATGTTTCAACATCCAAATAATTATTGGTCTTTAGAGCAGGGTTAGCTGCCAAAGACCAATAAAATTGAACAACTTGTGTAATTGTTTGTTGACTGAATATGAATGAATCCACCTTGTTGTGTGTAACAACTACTGAAATTAAATACGCATAGAATGATAATTCCTTCAGAACATCCATTGAAATCTTGGATTTAATGAGTGAACTCTTTAAATTGCTGTTAATCAAAATGATAATTAGCAAACGTACCAAAAAGTATACAGAAATAGCGTGCTTTTTTTCAGTGGCTGGTTCATTAACAAGATCAGTGGCTGCTTTCTTTACGAACAGCAATAATCGAATACACCAGTTAGCAAATGGAGCAAATGGTAAAAGAACATTAGGATCCCTAAAGTTTCCAACCTTTTCATCAATAATCTTTTTAACATTCTCAAATGATGCATCATTAAGCTGTTTATCAAAATTAGGAACAACTCTGTCATTTCTAATGACCTCTGTGATAGTCTTTGCATATACCATAGATTGCATGTAAATACTGTGACCTCTCTTTGCAGCACTTGCACTCATACTAATTCAATATTGTTAATAGTTCATGAAAATCCCAAATAACTTACAAATAAATAGAAAATATAAACATTTCTAAAGAATAAATATAAATAACATTCTTGGAAGAATTTTCCAATTTCAATCTGCATTGTTCAAATTCTGCTCCAATAGTTGTAATTTCCTCAGGAGACACCAATTTTTTGATTGATGCAAATAAATCCCATCTGTCGTAATTGTTAATAAGACATAAATTAAGCATATTGATATACTCTGCATTGGATCTCTTTTGTAATGGGAAGAGTCTAACTTTCATAGATGAATCTAAAACAGCAATAACACAACAATTTGGGGATATATCTGCATCACAAATTGTGGTATCAACAGGTTCCTCTGTCAGTTTTCTCTTTTTTGGTAATGGATTATTAATAGGTTCTTCCAATATTAATTCATCAGTTTCTCCTTTGGTATCTATTGTTTGGTAGTGCTTGAAGGACATTATTTCTGCAGCATATTTATATACATGGACTTTAGTGGTATCTGTAAATAATAAATAATTTCCATCAATTGAAGTTTTAAATGAGAGCATTTCGGCTTTAAGAGGAGTAAAGTGCTTATCTTCTCTCCAATATTTTAGGGCGTGGGTTATATCGTCTTTAGAGTCTTTGGAATCTTTAAATTGCAAGCTTTGATCTCCTGCACTGGTCATTACTGCTTTCAAGCTCATTCTTTTAGGGTATTGGTGATAAATCATATATTTGTTATCTTGGGTCTGTATCATGATCTTATTCTTATATGGAATCAAGTATAGACCTGCAACAAGACCATCTATTGAGAAGCAAGTTCTCGAAATTAATATTAAATTATTTGGAAGGGTAGTATCTACATTTCTACCTCTTTCAATGGCTAACTTTGCAACATGAATAGTTGAACTATCTCTTTCTGAACATATTACACAAATATTTCCATCTTCCAATATTGTGAAATCTGCACAAATAAGTCCATTTAAATTCAATTGAATACTAGAAGTTACCCATTTGTATTTTGAATGGTCATAGAAATAAAATAAAACCTCTCCATGGCTTGTGATGGCAATAAATGAACGAGTTCCACTTGGTAAATTAACAATTGATGAATATTTTCGGGTGTATCTAGCTTCCAATTCTGGTGAATCATTATTAATTGTTGTATTGTCATTAAGATAAGTAATAACATTGTCACACCATTTACAACACAATACATTCTCGCAATAAAAAGTCTTTCTTAAATGATAATCGTTAACACATTGATTGACACATTTCCACAAAGTAATAGTATTGTATCTATCATGAGACAATAACATTCCAACTCCTTGAGAAAGTTGCCAATTTAATCCTCTAACTTCATCATACAAATGATTTGACGGAATTTTCTCCACTTTTGATGGTTCATTCGGATCCACAACAAAAATCTTGTTCTGTGTAGAATAGGATAACATGTTATGCTTGTTGAAGGAAATTACTCCCTTTGGTACAAATTTACTTAGTTCGATCGGTTTTTCATCATCAATAGTACCATTCATCAAACTTTCCGTTCCATTAGCAACAAGAGAAAAACAACTTCCCTCTTGTGATGATCCGAGCATTTTTTTTAATTAATTTGAAATTATTTTTTTATAAAACTTAAATACAATTTTAAATCTATTAATAGTTGTCAATAGTTGAATGAAAAAGTATTGAAATTTTTGGAGCTAACTAATGTTTTGAGTGGGATAATTAACAATCTTGCTTAAAATAGTGGCAAATTGAATGCATTCTTGAACTGAGTTTGGATTGCAGCTCACTATTGAAACCATATTCGATTCTCCAAAGAAATCACCTTTTAAACTCTTGACAAATGAACATCCTTTGAGTGGTATGATGGGTTGTTGACATAGATCCAATGATCTTGCAATAGGCTTCAATTGTTTAAACACACAAGTCAATTCTTCACATTGATAATTGACCATTCGAATAAATTTCAATTGACTCTTATGAATGTGCTCTTTCTTTTCATTTTCATCCATGATTCTCCTATCCACTTCTATTAAAATATAATTTGACATTGTAAATGATGACGTTTCCTTTTGATTGTAGAAACAAGATGTGTTAAATAAACATCTTTCCAAAAATTCCAATGAATCTTTCAAATTGAAAAGTGAAATCTTTGAATAGCCGTGAAGAATTGGTTCCTCATTGCTCTGAAATTTAATTACAGGAAAGTTTGCACTTAAAATATCATGAAATCGTTCACCTGTTAAGCAGAGACAAGATGCTTTGAGTGAAACTGAACTTTTCTGATCAGAAAATAAATGTTCAAACGATTGTTGTATCATTCCATTCATATCATCATGTGTATTTCCCATCATTCTATGTCATTCATAACCAATTAATAGAAGAAAATATTAGAATTCAATTTGAAAGTAATCTTACATGTTCATATGGCTGACATCCTCTACAATCATAACAGTTCCATTGTATCCATGGAGTGTTTTATCAATGGTTGGCATGATTGCTTCTTTGAAATATATATTACAATTGACAGGACTTCATTCTTAAGAGAATTAGAATTTCTTGAAAACTTACTCTTCCACAACTCCATCATATTGATATTCTCTATTATTTTTCAAGTCAACAATGCACTTTCCCTTGTTGTCCTTAATTTCCATGTCTGTCAATTGATTACCATCATAAACATGCAAGACAACCACTGCTTGACTTTTAGACATTTTTTAATTGTGAAGAGATTAAAAAGTGTGACACATTGTGACTTGTTATTAATGTTTATGAACAGATTCTGTTGCAATATGCTTCTTAGGATGATTAACAATCTTTGAGAATGATGAAGCAATTTGAATAGTTTTCAAAATTTGTTGTTTTGTTGTTCCAATACTAAATACGATTGATGTATTCGAATTGCCGCCTAAACCTTCTCTCAAGCTATGTGTCAGAACATTATCTCTGTATGGAATGAATTTTTCACCTGTTGTCAATCTGTTTACCACAGACAAAAACTGATCATAAGTTTTTGCCATTTCCAATCCTAGTTTGGAAGTTTCCAAAAAGTAATTCATAATATCCACAAACTTGATTTCACTCTTCAAAATTTGAAAACTTTTATCCTCTTCCTTCCATTCTCTTTGCTCAATTTCAATAATCATATAATAAACAGCATGTCTAGTATTTGTCGATCCATGTTGAGTAGCAAAAAGTGTTGAATGTTTCATTCCAGCATTCACCAATTCATTCACAACTTTCATTGAGAGAACAGGAACTCTTTTCAATCCTTCAAAGCAAAGTGTCTTGTTAGGTAATTCCTTAAATTTAACTCTCGGAGTTGTTGAATCCAAAACATCATAAAATAATTGATTACACAACATTAGGGAGGAGGCATAAATTGTGACTTGATCGTGCTTTCCTTCAATCATTTCAAACAACTTTTCAAAGGTGTGAAATATTAAGCCCTTCTCATGACGCATTAATCTGTTTATGGGATAAAGAGCATTAAGAAAATTTAGATAATTACAAAGCTAGATATAAATACTAACGTTTTTCTATGAGCCTCATCTTCAAATAATAAAACAGTTCCATCAAAACCTAACATGGCTTGTTCAACAATTGGTTTCACAGCAACATTAAACAATTCTGAACAATCTACAGGACTAACTCATCCGATATAAATAATAACAAAATCCATTCATTCAATGTGTATACTTACTCTTCAAATACTCCATCAAAAGGATACTCAGTTGTTGGCCACGTATTAAAATCTCTCATAATTTTCCCTTCCTTAATGCCCATATTAATGTCATCCGAGTAGTCATTCCAATCAAAAGCTTGAATATACACTGAAAGTGGTTTCATTTTTTTTTAAATTGTGAAATCTCCAAATTAGTTCTTCCTTAGTGTTAAATTTGGAAGTTCCACATAAGGGCATCATCTTTTCAATTTGCCTTAAATTGATCCAAATTAAAAACAAGATAAAAAATTGGTGTGTTTCAGATTTTGTGATCAAGTAGCAAGCATGCATGGATCCAACCAATAATACTGTAGCAATTATTGTAAAGACATTAAAGATATTACAAAATGTATTTAAATATTTAAAAAATTCTATTTTTATTCAAAAACACAAATTAAAAAAAATGGCATTAGCGTTCCTCAATCTAAAATCCTTTCACCCTCTGAACAAGCAAAATCAGAGAAAGAAATGGATAGCGGAACAACAAGAAAAAGCAAAACGTAAACTTGCCGAACAACGTATCAAAGAATTAGCAGATGAACAAGAATTATATAAAGAGGAAAAAGTCAAGCTAATACAAAACAAGGTAACAAAGAAGCAATCATCAGAATCTCAGGCTGAGATGAGGAGAAGAAAGCAAATGTTACATGCCAAACCATCTGATATGAATAATAATAATATTAGTAATAATACTAGTAATAATGATGTATTTGTTCCTTCATCAACATCACAACAGGTTCAACCAATAATCAATCAAGAAAAAAAGGAAAATACCAAGGAAGCTGAATTTTCAGACTTTGTAAGAAGTTCGGATGATGTTAAATCTAATAAGAAATCTAGGAGAGGAGGAAGAAGGAGAGGAGGAAATGGTAAAGATAAGGAGGAAACTGTTGCTTCATCAACCAAATCTATTGCATTTATTTATCAACAACCACCAGGATTGAAGGATTGTTTGGAAAAGGAAAAAAAGTTAAAGGAAAGAGAACAAGTGGAAAAGAGAGAACAAGAAGAAAGAAATAGGAATATTGCTAAAACAAAGGAAGCTTTTGGAATGACGGATAATTCTCTTTCAATTCCTTCAATAATGAAAATTCAATCTAAAACTGTAAATAATGAAAATACCACTACAATAGTTGAGGAAGAACCAAAAGTTATTGTGGAAGCACCACTGGAAAATCCAGATTCTGAAAAGCCAAAAGACAGACGTCTATTGTCTGATGTGGAAAAATTCCCAATCCTCAAACACGCTCCAACAGAAGGTGGTTACACAGAATTTGTGAAAGTCAAACACAAACCTTTTGGTATTGAACTCAGAAATGTCAGATGTACCAAATGTGGTGAGTTTGGTCACACAAACATAGATAGAGAATGTCCATTATTTGGCATTAGTCGTGTGGATGCAGATAGACTTAATAGAGAAGATCCATTACTTCAAATGAAGCAGATAGAAGAACCAGAGGAACCAAACAATGATGCAGTTTTTGAGGAATACTTTACTCAGGAAGATACAAATCCTGAGGAGCTTTACGAGATTTTGGTGACAATGTCATCTGAAGATAAGAAGAAACTTTTCAAGAAATACAAGAAACTCAAATCAAAACTAAAGAAAAGAAGGGATAAGAATGAAGAAACGGAAGGAGCTAAAAAGAGAAAACTGTAATAATATTTATTAAAACACTAAGGCAAATACAATAATAAATCCTGCTAACACAATAAGAGAAATAATTGTGATTAAAATTCTTCTCTTCCAAACAGATCTGTGTTTGATCTTTGTGTGATAGGTGTGAATAATACTATCAATAATTCTTCTGATACCAGTCCACAAACTAGACAATGGTTGGAAATTTTCTTTCAAACTCATGAGATAGTCTTTAAATGTGGAAGTTGTGGAAACTGCCTGTCCAGAAGCCATAGCTACATTTGTTACTACTTCTGTAGCTTTTTCAAGTTCTTTCTTATATTTGAATAAGCTACCAATTTTAGTGAATGGATAAGCTACCATTTGGAAGAATCCTACAATTACATTGAATAAAACCTTAAACAATGTAACAGGATATGAAATAATAGCTGAAATAGCAGTAAAAAGCTCAACAACAAAATCTATCAACTCTGTACAAACAAATGATATCAATTGAACAGGAACTTGAATTGCAGCATATAATCCTGTACCAAATAGAGCAATAAACTTTGCAATTGCTGAGCAAGAAACTGATAAAAAGTTGAACAGTGGCAATAACAAATGGTTGTACAATTGTATAAATGGATAAACAATACCATTTCCAAGTAAAACCAAAAAGTCTGCCAAGGGTTTAAATATCTGAGTAATGAAATGTGACAAATTAACAATTAACTTCCATAGGGGCGTAAATAGAGCAACAATAGGTGCAAATAGTGAGAAGAATATTAGAGATGCCTCCCATACTTTCGAGAATACTAGTGGAATAAGCAACATTACTTTGTTCTTGATTAGTGGCTCAAAGTAAGAGGCTACAGGTCCAAATAATGCTCTAAGGGCACCTCCAACAATTGGAAGATTCTTATACAAATCGTAAAAGCCCCATATCAAACTGATTACAATATAAATATTTACAAGAGTAGTAATAACTTCTCTAACTCGGTGATTATAATACACTGGAATACCATATCTATTTACAATTGTGGCCCAGGTAGGAAGGCCAACAATAGCAAGTTTTAACAATCGTTTGTCTGATGAAAGCAATGCACCATCCATATATTTAGCGCTATCTTCTCTACTCAAGTAAAGGAAGAAGAAGTTAGATTGCATTGTAGATGGTGCTTGCTCTGGAACTCGTTTAGTTTCAATAACTATAATATCATCAGAGAGAGGCGAATGTTGGAATTCAATACCTGTTATTTCATCAAAAGGAATAGTTAATCTTTGCTCACTTTTTGATTCAATTATACTATCATAGGAGAATATAATTCTCTTTTTGTAAATATCTATCAACACTCTAATTGTGTGAGTAAGAGTCTTTTGCCATCCTTTAATGAACCAATCACAAGTAGTTAATCTAACAGCATTGAATTCATATTGACCTACACTCTGAATATCTGAAGTATTTGTTAGGGATAACTTGTTTCTCAATTCTCTAGAATCTTCAAATCTATCAAGTTTAAATTGAGCAATTGGATCAACAGCTTGATTAGTTTGATATCTGGTATGTCTAAATCTCTTAATATGATCCACGTGTTTATACATAAAACTGTACTGATGAGGAAGAGGAGTAGTTACTTGCTCCCCAACAGCAGAGCTTGTTTGAGCTCTAACACTCTTGTTTGGTGTTACAGCACTGGCTTTTCTTCTACGTGTGGATACATCAAGAGTTAATGGTGATGGAATGACAAGTTGATCTTCTGGTGTTTTTGGTGAGTTTCTTCTAGAGTTTTTGAGTGGCTTAATTGGTGATAAATTCAATGAAGGTGTTGTTACATTTGTAGAGTTTTGTTTTGATGGAGAAGGAGAAATAAAGGAAGATGATTTGGTAACAGTACCAGGAGTGTGAAAAAGTGTTGAAGGTGAATCCAATATTTCACTGTCAGAATGATGGGTATCTTGTTCTTCCTCTTCCTCTTCATAATCATCCTCATCAAATTCATCATATTCGTCATCACTCAAGTCATCCGAGGTTATTATCGAAGGAGTGGTTATTAAATTTGAAGAATTATACTCTGGAATAGAAAATGTAGAATTGGAATTAATGTTTGTTGATATAATAGGTGTTGTTTCTGCAGGAATGATTGGAGTTTCATCGGTGCATGGTTTTACTCTCCTTCTAAAAGTGCTCATCTTGTTGGTCAGAGAGTCAAAAATTCGTGATGATGAAAGAAATGATGCTGTACTTGTTATTATTTTGTTATTATCGACGTGTTTAGGAGGATCAGCAATTAGTAGTTTTGTGGGTGTTTGCATTTTCAAAATTGGACGTTTTAATATATTTACAAGGGAAATTGTTTTGCTCCGGAAGAAAATGCAGCCAAATATTATTAATTTAAATATTTACAAAATATTGATGATTTAAAAGAGAAATGAAGGTTGTTGTATTAATTTCTACTCGTGATACTTTTTCTAATATGTAATTACAAGTACAAAGTTTTTTATAGCACACACAACAAGAGATTCTCGATTATAACAATATTGGCGCGTGTTTTCTTTTTTTATTGATAATGTGTGCACTTGAAGGCATTTTAGAAGCAAGGTTGCTTTTTTCCTTGGGCGGGAATTGAAAAAATATGAATCTTCTGTGTCCGTTGCTCAAAGAAGAAAAATAGTGCAAGTAAGCAAAGGAAGTCACACCGATGACGTGGTTTTAATTGGTGAGGGATAATGGTAGAATGTGAGATTAGGAAAATTCAAGAGGGATGATTCAAATTTGAAGGAAAATTATTTACCTTATTATTGAAGATGTGTAAAACACGTTTTCTTATTGTAAAGAGCTTGATACATTCTGTTCACTGTAGTTTGATCTCATTAAATTGAATAATATTGTTTAGATTTCTAATAAATAGAGAGCTAATTGTTTATTCCTTCAATCTATTCGTTTGAAGGAAGTTTAATGGCACTTTCAACTTTTTGTCTACAAATTGGACACTTGTTTGTTTGCTCTTTCAGTGCAGTTGCACATCCCTCACATAAGGACATGTGACCACAAGGTAAAACAACAGTATTAGCCTCTTCAGACATACAAACAACACATAAATTCTCTTCCTCTTCATGATGATGATCATTGGTGGATTGCTGATATATTTCTCCAACTTCAAAAAGTTCATTTCCAACTACAATTTTCTGTTTGTTGACCTTGATGGAATATGATTGATCATTACCCTGTTGTTCTAAAGAACACAAAGAATACTGTGTAGAGGTGTCACAAGACAATACCACTACAAGAGGAACGAGTTGAGATTGTAATTCAACTTCTTCATTCTCAACCTGTGGTGGAATATTTGAATATTGTAAATCTTCTCTATTCGGGAATTCATTTTTGAAATCAATTAATATATCATTTAAAGTACATTCGACAAAAGCCGATTCATTATAGTCCTTTCTTGTATCATTGTCACTATTCAAATCCACTCGTGTTTCTTCTTGTGTTGAGTCTAAATTCATAAAGTCTTGATGATGGAATGATTTAGCAGGAATTTCATGACTCAATACTGATACATATGCAACTCTTCCATCAATCATAATTTCTCTAGCTTTTAAATATACAAATACTTTACATTCTTCAACAAATGAAGACCTAACATTAAATTTAAAAGAAAGTTGATAGTGATTTTCTTGATTACTATTTTTAAGCAAAATTGAATTCTTTTGTATATTAATATCATTTCTTAATAACATTGTTTCCTTGAATTCGAATTTTCTAAATGTCGGTTGATCACTTCCTCCATGAATTGTATTATCAGAAGTGCCTAATAACCCCTCTACACCTCCATAATATCCAAATAAATTCATCAATTCTTCAGAGTTGTTGGTAGAGAAAAATTCCTGATTCAACAAGCCATCAATAATCATCGGAGCGCCTCCGAATAATAATTGAGGATGAGAATTTGTTGTATTTGATGATGGTAATTCACTATTATTTAATGTTGTTGGAGCTGCACCACTTGGTGCATTTTCGTTTTCCGATTGATTTTCCAAATCGTCGTCATCTCTGAGAGTTCGGTGTTGTTGGTCTTGATGGAAAGTAAGAGTTTGTCCCATTTTTTAAGAATGTTTCTTGTTGATGTTTATTAATAAAACAACATATCAAATTTCTTCATTTAAAATTGTTCAAGCCGAGACAATAAAGTTCAATTAGTGTGGCTTACCAAAGCTTTCGGACAGCGGATTCTCTAAGATTTTAATGTCGTTAATCGTTTTTTTGTTGAATACATTCATCATGATATTTAATAAGAGTTTACAATAGTTTAGATCAGTTTCGAATGTATACAAAGTTAAGCTTTAGGATTTTGAGCGGAACTAGAAATGGATTTTACAATTTGTTTGATTGCAGCACCTTCTCCAAAACGTAAAATGTAAGGTGCAACTACAGACATGTCAAAAGCACATTGATTTCTCATGTAACAGATGGCAATCATTCCTTCAGTATCTCTTTCAGCAGCAGTATTTGTCATTAAACATGGTGTTTCCTTCTCACATCCATAATAGAAAAATTCATGTTTGCATGTTGTAAAGAGAGATCTACGTCCCAAACCATTCCACTTCTTTTTACATTCAACTTGACATGCAACACATGTTGTATTAGAATATGATGTGAATTGAACTTGTGGTAAAGCCAATGAAGTTGGTCCAAGAATACCATTAAATAGTGCAGGAGAATTCATCAATAAATTCAATGCTCCCATTGAAAATTCCATTCTTGAAGCACCTCCTTTTGGTGATGTAGTTCTAGTGACAGAAATTTGTGTTGAGATTTCATTTGCTGTTGGTGCTGGTGTTGACGAAATAGAACGAAGACTATCCTTGAGAGCAGTATTTCTATTCTTTGGGCCAATTGAGAGACTGGACTTGGTCTTACTATTCTTGCTGGCAGCTTTACTTTTGGCACTTGTCTTGGAGCTCTTTGATTTGCTACTGTTCTTTGAAGAAGATTTACTAGAACTCTTTGAGCTCTTACTTGCTGATTTTCCACTTTTTCCACTTTTACCACCACTTTTGCCAGAACCCTTTCCACCATTTCTTCCACTTTTTCCACTGGCTCCTTTTCCACCTCTGCCACCTCTTCCTCCAGAGCTGCCACCTCTGCCTCCTCCACCACGTCCACCCTTTCCACTAGCTCCATTACCACCTCTGCCTCCAGAACTGCCTCTGCCAGAACCACCTCTGCCTCCTGCACTGCCACCTCTACCACCACGTCCACCACCTCTGCCTCCAGAACCACCACGTCCACCTCTTCCACCTCTGCCTCCACCACGTCCACCTCCTCTTCCACCACCTCTGCCTCCACCACCACGACCTCCACCTCTTCCAAGGACACTGACACCATGTATCATCTCTAAATCTTCATCTTCATGTTTAAGAGTATTCTTTTTGAATGTATCGCTTGAACTAGAACTTGTGGTTGAGAGAGTTTGTGCACAATTAGGGCGTGAAGCTCTAACATGTCCAACATGTAACAAGGCAATACTTAACACTAACAAAAGTAACAAGCTAGCAATAACTGAAAACTCTCTTGATAGTTTGTCCTTTCTGATAGTCATATTTTTTTACAATGTTTAGCTAGAGTCAGTTTTACTCAGTTGACTCTCATTAATTTCGGTGATAAGCGCATTGGATCATAGATCCCGTACATAACATATACCATGTTTTAATTGGACAATGTTTACACATTGACAGGTCATACAGTGTCAAAAACAGAAATAAACTCACAGTCACTCTTCTACAGTAGAATCAAGATATAAACCGATGTTGTCGTGATAAACAAAAAAACAACTGTTTAGGATTAGTTCTAATCTCGCAAAGGCAAGAACCAAGATTGTTATCAAAGGACAAGGATATTTTCCTGAATTTTAATCTCGACTCGAGTGCTCTTTGGCTTGTTTACTTGTTGTTTGAAAAGCCAAGTAACTTGTCGAATAAGGGCTAATTTTGGCTTCATTATGCCATTATTTCCTTAATCATTTTCACAACAACGGTATACTAACGGTTGTAGTTTTCTTTTAATTGTTTCAGCTGTTTGAGCTGACACAAACTGGACATGGGCAAATAGCACTTTCAAGAGACGAATCATGTTTCAATAATTTGTCTTTGGAGTATGAACACTTCTTAAGGTTTAAATGATTTGAAGAAATAATGAAAAAGGAACTATTTTATTGAATACCAATTTGGAGCATATGAAATTCAAAAGTTCTCCCGCCCTTGCATTTTACTGTTATTTTTAAAACATCAACAGCCATAACGTAATTTACAAGTTTTTCTTCAAAAAAATGTCTTCACAACACATCAATGACGACAAGGAGGGGGATCGTACTACTAATGACGACCATAGTAAATCGGTTGTTAGTGAAGATTTTACTCCTAGAACCTTGCAACAATTAAATGAAGCTGTAATAGAAGGTACAAATGACCATTCTTTGGATTTAGAACCACCAAATCAACACGAACATCAACTCTATAAAAAAATGGCTTCAGATCATCAACCAGAGCCATCCTCTAATAATAAGGAGGTTGAACATCAAAAGGAAAATCAACCTCATAAGGAAGCCACTAAGGAAAGCCATAATGTAGATGAAACCAAAAAGGAAAAAAAAGAACATAAACAAGATGAGCACAAGGAACAAAAAGAAAACAAGGAAACTAAGGAACACAAGGAGGAAAAAGAACACAAGGAAGAAAGGAAGGACCACAAAGAACCAAATAATGATGAGGAATTTTTGCATCCAGACGAAAAACCATCAAACATAGTACCACCACAAAGAAGTTATGGTAGTTCGCCTTCATTAGAAGATCAAGAAAGAGCAGATATGCATTTCCAAAATACTATATTAACATTGGATAATTTAAAAAATCGTAGCACAACAAGACACACTAAACAAGTTATTTCAACATCCAACTCATCTTCCTCAATAACCTCTAAAGCTTCCCGTTCTTCATCCAATAGTACTTCAACCTCAAATCTTAATAATCTTAACAACACTGCTCCTAACAATGAAGAAAATAGTAACACCAGTAGTAGTAATACAGTAGAAGAAAAGAAGGAAACAACTACCAAACAACATGAAGTTGAAAATCATCTCACCAAACCTGAGCAATCAGACACAACTCATGATACTCCAACAGCTCCAATCAATGAGTCAAAACAACAAAATGAGGAAAAGAAGGAGCACAAGGAAAAGAAGGAACATAAAGAAAAGGAAGCCACTAAAGAAAACCATAGTGTTGATCAACCCAAAAAGGATCAAGAGCATAAGGAGGTTAAAGAACACAAAGAAACTAAGGAACAAAAGGATCATAAAGAAGAAAAGAAGCAAGTTAAAGAACACAAGGAAGAACCTAAAAAGCAACACAAAGAAGAGCACAAAGTGGACGAACATCCTGTTGTTCAAAAGGAACCAGTGAATCCGAAGAAAACTCAACCACAAGCTTCTGAACACAAACAGCAAGAACCAACATTTAATGTAGAAGAACAATCCAATATTATCTCCACAACCACAACAACAGAAAAGAAAAAGAAGAAGAAACCATCAGGGCAAGTCACAACAGAAACTACTACTGTCACAACAACAGTGATAAAGAAGAAAAAGACGCCTCCAACAGACGAGCCACCTGAAAGAGATTTTCTTCAAGAAAGATTGGAGGAACAACGTAAACAAGAGTCAATATCTGATGCCAATAACACAAAGAAAAATGATGGTTCAAAACCTCTTTATAAAAGATTAGAAGAAGAGTTTAATGACAGAATGATGAAAGAAAAGGAAAAGGAAAAAGAATTGCTTAAGGAACTGAGGAAAGATTTCGAACCTAAAAGACAAGGATTTAAGGACTCTCAATTTGAATCAGTTCACAAAGAAAAGTTACAAATAATGAGAGAAGAAAGGGAAAGGGAACGTCTCAGAGCACAATCAGAGAAAACATTACAACAATATCATTACAATAAGATCTTTGACATCATGCAAGAGGAGGAAAAGCAAAAAAAAATTGCAGAAGAACAGGAGAAAGAAAAGAAGAAACAACTTTTGAAACAACAACAAGTATATGCTGAAAAGTTGAGAAAAGTCAAGGTTAAAATTGATGATAAAAAGAGAGAAGAAATTGAAAATAGATTACATAAGAAATCAAAGCTTAAAGATATGACAAAGAATAGTTCTTCAACTGGTGTCATTCAAACAGACGCCCCATCAACACCAACTCGCGAATTATCAGAAATTCCACCCACCAAGATTCTTAATCCTCCTCATACTGTTCCTAAAAAGAAGAAGAGATCAAACAAATTGCCTTCTCTTGACAAAAAACTTCCTAAGAAAGCCTCCACTTCAGAACAAAACCGACGTCAAAAAGATCTAGGTGAAAACTATATGGAAGCCAATAAGAAACATGGTAAAAAGAAGAGTAAGCAACCTGAGGTTAACGTTGAAGAAATAGAAGAATTGAAGAGGAGAGCTGAAAGAATGGAAAAGAGAGCAGAACAAGCCTTAAATAAGGATGATATTGATGATACAGATACTGACGTTTTGGCTAATGCTTTAAAGGCAAAATTAGAATTATATCAACGTGTAAAAAGGAATAACAACCAAAAGTAAAATTATATATTTATTGATATTGGTTGAGTTATTCGAAGCCTTAGTTACACTAAAGCATCAACTAACCTATTGAACAACAGCTGTTAAGGAATTTTGTTCGAATCTGTTTCCGTATCGTTTTTTTAAGGCAAAGTGAAAGTTCTATACAACAGTTAATGATTGGACAATTGTTGGGTTAATCAATTTCGTCTGGAGAGAAATTTTTCGATCCACTTGTTGAAGAGCTTCGTGTAACGAAAGAAATAATTGATGGAAATTAACAAAAATAAATCAAAATATAATTTAAAAAATGCTCAGACGTACCCTCGCTGTTAAAAGTACTTTCGCTCTTGCTCAAGGTTTTGCCACCAAGCAAGCCATGATGTTCCACACTGCTAGATCCATGATGATGAACACTGAAAAGCTTGACGTTAATGTCTTGTTGAAGGAACAAAAGGAAAAGCAAAAGCTCAAGGAATTGGAAAAGAAACTCCAAAGAGAACACGCCCAAAAGATTAAACAACAAAAACAAAAGTCTAAAGAAGCCCTCGATTTGATCAAACAAAAGCAAGCCGACAAGGAAAAGGAAAAGAGTACTCGTAAAAAGAAGGACGTTAATTCACCAAAGAGAGCCTTGACTCCATTGCTTTGGTTTACTACTCGTAACTTTGCTTTGATCCAAGGTGAATTGATTTCAAATGGTACTATTAAACCAGATACTCCAAGCAAGTTTACTCTTGTTCAAGGTGAACTAAAGAAGAGATGGGACTCTTTGGCTGAAGCTGAAAAGAATATTTATGTTGATTTGGCTGCTCAAGATAAACTTCGTTATCAAAAGGAAATGAAGGCTTACAACAAAAAGAAGGAAGCTAACAAGAGACCAATGACTTCTTACATGCGTTTCTTCATGGAAATTAGACCTCAATTGATCCAAGAAAATCCAACTGCCAAGGTTACTGAAATCACAAAGCTAGCTGCTCAACGTTGGAAGGAATTGTCAGCAACAAAGAAGAAGGTTTATCAAGAAGCTTTCGAAGCTGATATGGAAGTTTATAGATCAGCTCGCGAATAAATCATTCACTCACTAATTGGTTATTACAAAAATTGTTTAATTCGTGTGAAATAGGCCAAAAAAGGGATGTTTTATAATTTTTTGAATTTGTAACGATGGTTGTTCAAATCAATGATATCAACAAAATTTTGATTCAACAAGAAGTGACCATACTCACTTGCAACAATCATGATTGGTAATACGAATGGAAATACAAGAATTGCCAATTTGAAATGTTCTCTTCCGAGTGGAGCTCCAACTTGAGTCAACAAATGATAATGTTCAATCATTGAAGGTGTCCATAATAATAATTCAAATGCAGCAACTAAAATTGAAATGAATAGGCAAATGAATAATATTTGTGGAATCTTTAAATTTCCAATTACTTGAACATTGTTGGAATTTTCAATAACTTGTGAAGGTGTTGAAATAACCGAATGATGAGATAAAGAGTTTGATGATTCACCATCGTCCATTGGATGATCTGTTAATATTGTACTAGGAGTTGCAAAATATGCTGATGTATTAGACCTATTATTTAAATTATTATTCGTAAATGAATTATATCCCTCTTCACCAGATTTTAATGATAAATTAGAATTATTTAAAATTAATTCATTATTATCCATATTATTATTATTATTATTATTGATATTATTGATGTTATAAGTAAAATTACTAGTACTATTATTCATTAATAAGTAATTAATAGTTGATTGTTTCCAAATAGTATATCTATAAAAACAACGTATAGACAAAGTTAATAAACCAATTGAAGATAATGTATGAACAAGTCTAATTCTTTCCATTCCAATTGATTCACCAAAGTCTTCCCCAATCACAGCAAAATACAAGAATAACAATGAACACAAGCCTGATACAATTCCAACACTATACGAATAAATCTTGTATTGAACACTTGCATTTTGATAATATGTTTCAACCATTTCCATTTGTTCATCTTCATCATAGAATTGTTTCATTGAATCCGTTTGTTCATGAGGCGATGATGTTGGTGAAGGAGGAGTTGCTGTAGGGGATCGAATGTAAAGTGTTTTCATTTTTTTTATATTGTTGAAGATGAAAATTACAATTTTTCTTCTTGTTGTTTGCAATTGTTGTTGATACAATGAGAGATGCAGAGATGAAGGCAAGTGAAAGTGTTTTTTTATTGTTGCTGTTGATGATGAATCATTTTGGGTAGTGTTATTAATTAATTAGCATGTGGGGACTCGAGAATTGGAAATGATTCACACAACGAAAATTGATTAATTTTAATTTTAAAAAGTGCAAGTTTGTTCAAATTTGTCATAAATATCAAAAATCAGTGAAATTGTCCTTCATAAGACTCTCAATATTTAGTTTCTTCAACTTTCTTGCTTTACTCACAGTTGAATTATGTTTCTAATCTTTCATATCAGTAAGCTTTCTTTCACATTCACGAATTAAACACCTCGATGGTAAATCATTTGGAGCAGTAATCAAGTATTGATTGAATAAATCCATTGCATCACTGTAGGCCTTATCAAAGTAATATTTGGTTCCTTGATTGTAGGAATTCCATTTTGTCAGCTTAATTTTCTCTTGCAATTCGTACATCCATTCATCTTCAGTAACTTTGAGAGAAGGTCCCAATTCATAGATTTTCAATTCTTCTTCATCTTGATACGATTGATAGGGAGTTCCTCCCATTCCATCCATGAAAGCATCATTCAGATTTGGATTCAAGCATGACGGGTCAATTGATTCCACAGAATCTACATAACGATTTTGGAATGATTTTTCACATCGTTCCTTAGTTGGTTGACTCATTACAAAGGATAGGCCAAGTCGAAGAGCAGATGCCATTAACTTTTCCAAATTATATCGAACACTCGAGATGATTGTAAAGTTTTTCGCTTCATTTGTTCCAACATTTCCACAAAATGCTTCTTGGGTATGAATGGCAAATCTAAAACTCACACAATCGAATAAATTTCCATACTTTTTGGTCAATTCTGGAGTTTTCCATTTTGAAACTTTGATATTTGAAAGTCTGGAAAGAAGAGTGGCTGCAGTTATAGCTCCCTTTTCTTCATGATTTGATTGACAAGAGGCAGCATTGAATGATATTGTAATAGTTTCATTTTCAAATTGACCAACAAATCCTCCCATACTTCTACTAACGCTATTCACTTGTTCAAACATATCAGACATGATATGAACCAATTCTGAAGGATTCATTGTAATTAAACATTCTGAAAATCCATGAACTAGCAATTGAACACAAGTGATCACTCTTTGCTCCATGTACAGTGAAAACTTATGGCTCTTACAAACCTTTCGCATATGACTATCTGAATTCTTACTGTTCATAGATAGAGAGTTTTGACTGGAAGTGTCTCCTAATTTGGAAGATTGTAGTTTCTTTGAAGATTTCTTTTTAAAAGAATAATCTTCATGTGTTGGTTCTTCATCTTCTTCTGTTTCTTCTTTCTCTTCCTCTTGTCCATTCTCAATTTCTGAAAGTAAATGGGCAGGAATGAAACTCTTATACAGCTTAATTCGGTTGACCATACTAAGAAAGTGACCTTGAAGTTGTTTCACCTCTGAAAATGCAGAAGTAATAATACTTAATTGTTCCAGATCCATTTTAGCAACACTTTCGAATTGTTCAATAAGATTATACAATGGTCTGGCTACTCTAATTGAAAAATAAACTCCCACAATGATACCAATAACAATCGTAACAAATCCGGCAACACAGGCACAGATAATGGCAATGATCATTGAACCAACATAATTCCAGTATGGAACTGACAATACTATAGTCCAATCAATTTGAGAATTAGTACACAATCTAAAAACTGAATTGTAGAAATTATCATGGGAGATTAAGATTAGAGTATTGCAAGGAATGTTACTCCAATCTTTATACTGTTCAAGTAAATTGGCTCCTAATCGACTCACCTTATCATCTCCAACAGTAGATGGTGTTTTTCTATGTACTTGTCCACTGTTATCCCAAGTTGACAGTGGCAGCTCATTATTCACTATTATGAAAAATAAGATTATCTTTCCAAAAGTACTACTTACAAGCAATTAAAAATCCAGTTTTGGTTTCAACAATAAATCCAGTTGATCTCTGAATATCACTTGTTTGCTCTCTTAAGAAATTAGAAATAGTCGTTACTGTTAAATCATTGGCAATGTAGTAATGGAAATTATGTCCATTGGGTAAGGGGTATTCACTATTCACAACACAATTGATTGAGGTAATGAAAGTATATTCTGGTACATTTGGATCAGTGTAGCTCAATGAAAAAACTTGTTGATTTGGGAAAGAATCACACACTGAAACCAATATACTCATATCGAAGAGTGTTGAATATTCATTCGGTGTGGAATTCCTAAAACATGTGTTATGTTTAGGAACATCAAGACAATAGTAGATTTCTGATTGATTTCCATTCATTGAAGAATTAATGGTTGCTAAGTAAGGACCCCACTGAAGCTGACCAAAAGCAGATCCTGCATAATCACCAGCATAGCTTGATATTGTTACATGTGAGAGGTATTTTAAAGAGGACTAATATTAGCATAGTAAACCATTCACACATCTGTTCAAGAAATTATTAAGGTTAATAACTTACCTTATAGCCAGAGTAGAGTACACGTTCAAGGTAATTGAAACTATCCTTATCATACATATATTCATCAGTGATGGTTTGTTGTTTGATGGCTTCATTAAGTACTGAAACTTCCACTAAAGTATCATTTGCAAAATTCAATATTGAAGTAAATTGTTCTTCTCTAATCATTGTTGATAGATTGAGGACACTTGGTGAAAAACTTGCCAAACAAGTAAGAGTCAATAGAAACACATTCAAAAACAGTAAACCACACGTCAGGACAATGATACAGCACCGAATGGAAGTTCCCTTCTTTTGTGTTGTTGTTGTTGTACCAGGAGTTCTTCTTGTTGATTTAGTAGGCTGATGAGTTTGTTCATGTGATTTCTTGTATTGATGTTCAGGTGCCACTCTTTGTGATGACCTGAATGAGTGTAGCATGTTACTGTTTCAATGTGTGCTTGTTTTCTTAATAATTCTTGGAACGTATGTTCCCCATCGAACTTCCAACAAACACCCATTCACAATAATCATCAAGCAGTACGGTTACTATAGGTGTTTTTTAAACTAATATATTAAGCAATATGTAATATCGCAAGAATCCTTATATTTGTCTTGGAAAATGAAACTGAGGTAAATATCGTGAGTACACACTGAGGATTAATAGTCAAATTGCAACATATGAGACTTTCAGTATTAATTGGTCCACTATGAGGATTTGGAAGTTGAAGTATTTCTTGTTATTGAAGAAATTGTATTGTAAGTACACATATTTGGAAAGACTTATGCCAAACAAAGTATTACTGCTTTTGCACAGCTGTTAAACAACTTTAGTTTTTTCATTGGACAGATTTAAATCCAATGAATATTTAATAATAAATAAAAATTAAAAAAAATGACAACAACTGATGATCATCATCCTGTACAAGAAGAATCGACCACCACATCAGCAGAAGTGATCAATAATAATTTAGGATCATCACCATCGGAACAATTAAATAATACACCATCCAATATACCATCATCACAAATATCACCAGTTAAATATACAACAGAATTATTTTGTACACAATATACGGAATTACTTAGTAAATCAACAAATCAAAAGGAAATTGAACAAGAAGAACAATTTAAACAAATTGAAAATTTAATTGAAGTGTTATTGAAAAGATGTGATGAGCTTGGTGAAAATTTAGATTTAATTCAAACAAATTCGGTTCAAATCAATGATGAATTATTACCAAATTTATTGAAAATGATGGTACACGTCAAACAAATATATTCTAAAATTGATAATTTAAATTCTGTAGTTTCTAATGCTAAAGAGAAGGTCAATTCGTTAGACTTGAAATTAAGTGAATTTGAAAAACAAAAATCATCAGAAAAGTATGCCAAGTTTGTCCCAAGTTTTTTCAAATTTGGTAAATCAAATGATAATACTTCTGCTACTGAAAATGTCATTCAATTCAATAAAGATGATTATTTATTGTAAAGAATAGATCTTTTCTTTATAGCTTAACAAGAGTAATATGTACAAGTTTATTAGCTTTTTGAATCATGACAAGATTCTTTAATATATTTGTTGTAATGAATTTTAAAAGATGAAGTAGATTGTATTACTTGGTTTAGAAACATTTTCTGTGAACAATTGCACAGCCAGCATCTTGATACTCCTCTGCCGTAATCCACATGGATTGAAAGGTTGATAAAGAAGAGAGAATACTTCCACCAATCCAAACTGAATACTTTCTTTCTGGTGGAGCAATAACTTTAATCTTCATTGAAGCTGGAGCCATAGCTGTCAATTCCTTGTTCATTCTCTCAGCAATTCCTTCAAACATGGTTGAACCACCAGAAAGAACAACACTTCCATATAATTCCTTTCTAATATCAATATCACACTTTCCAATAGAATTGAAAGTTGTTTCGTGAACACCAGCTGCTTCCATTCCAATAAAATTTGGTTGAAATAATACTTCTGGACATCTGAATCTTTCGTTACCAACTGTAATGACATTACCATCTGGCAATTCATATGACTTCTCAACTGAGGATGATTCAGCAGCAACCTTCATTTCTGCTTCAAAATCCAAAGCAACATAACAGAGCTTTTCCTTAATATCTCTGACGATTTCTCTTTCAGCAGTAGTATTGAATGAATAACCTCTTTCCATCAAAATCTTCATCAAGTAATCAGTCAAATCACGACCTGCCAAATCCAGTCTCAAAATGGCATGAGGCAAGGCATAACCTTCATAGATTGGAACAGTATGTGAAACACCATCACCTGAATCCAAGACAATACCAGTAGTTCTACCAGTAGCGTACAAGGACAAGACAGCTTGAATAGCAACATACATGGCTGGAACTCTAAAAGTTTCGAACATGATTTGAGTCATCTTTTCACGATTTGCCTTTGGATTTAATGGAGCTTCTGTCAATAAGACACCATGCTCTTCAGGACCAACTCTCAATTCATTATAGAAAGAGTGATGCCAAATCTTTTCCATATCATCCCAGTTGGTGATAATTCCGTGCTCAATTGGATATTTGAGAGCGAGGATTCCCTTCTTTGACATGGCTTCATCTCCAACATAGGCATCCTTACTACCCATTCCAACCATGATTGACCTATGTTTTGGTCTTCCAATTAATGATGGAAATACAGCTCGTGGAGCATCTTCACCAGCGAAACCAGCTTTACACATTCCAGAACCATTGTCAATTACGAGAGCTTGATTTTCTTTCATTTTGAGTTTAATATTATTATGTTTTTGAGTCTTTTGTTTTGTTTGGACGAATATCTCAAGTGCATAGCTCTGGATTTATAGAGTTTAGAATAGAATTTTGTTATGCCTTTGTCTTAGTATAATAGTTCATTGTTCCTTGACCTAAACTAGTTTGATTGTTTGGATGGAAACTCCAAATACCACTTTGAACGGAACATGTAGGAAGAAATTCAGTTTATTACACCTAACCCAAGTACATTTCGATATTGAAAATTAAAAAGTTTGGATTAATCCAATGAACAATTTGAAAATTGAAATTTGTAAAAAAAATATGAAACCAGTCGAAACTGGGAATGTAATATTTGCTGATGATGTAATCTATGAAATCCTATCTTTCCTAAATAATGAATGGAAGTTTATTTTATTGAACGGTTGTTTAGTTTCTAAACAATGGTTTACAATGATTAAGAAATATTCGAAACTAGAAGTTGAATTTAATCATCGGATCAATACTGAACAATTATTTTCAAGTGACTTTTTAAATTCAATTGCAAAATTGAGAATTGATAAATATTGTGGAATTTTATATCCGAGAAAATTCAATGAAAATCTTGGAATGATGACTCAGTTGACTGAATTGAATCTTTCAGCATGGAAATTAAAAATGGAACATGTTGAAGCTATTTCAAAATTATATAATTTGAAAAAATTAATCATTAATAATCGTTTCAATAATTTTGATACAAAGGAAGCAAAATTAATTGGGAAATTAGAAAATTTAACATTTTTGGAAATTTCTAGAATTGGTGATATGGGACTGAAATATATTTCAGAATTGAAAAATTTGAGAATTCTAAATATACATGATCCATGTTTTACCTTTACAAGGTATGGACTTGAATCCATCAGTGAAATGCCCAAATTGACTTGTTTGAAAGTTAGAGATTTGAAAATTTGTAACGAAGGTGTCAATTGGATTAGTCAATCAACTCAATTGACTGATTTAGATTTTACAACCTGTACTTTAGATCAAGGATTAGAATCATTATGTGAAATGAAGCGATTAACAAGTCTATGGTTGCCAAGTTGCCCAAAATATGCAAACAAAGTTGAATTAATTGGCCAATTGACACAATTGACTAGTCTCAACATTTGTGCTAGAGGAATTAATGATCAAGATGGAGTACATATCAAAGAATTGACGCAATTGACTGAACTTGATATTAGTCTGAATCAAATTGTTTTTGAAACTATCGAATCTATTAGCCAATTGACCAATTTAATTATTCTAAACATGTCCTATTGTAATATTGGAGATGATGGAGCATGCCTTATTGGAGAATTGAGTCAATTAAGAGAGTTGAAAGTTTTAAAAAATTTAATTACTGATGCAGGAGTTATTTCAATCAGTCAATTAAAACATCTTATCAAGTTGGATATTAGTAATAATGAAATTAGTAAGACTGGAGCTGAATCAATTAGTGGATTGAGAAATTTAACTTACCTTAATATTGGATATAATTTAATTGGAGATGAGGGATGCGATTTCATTTGTGATCTGTCTCTATTAAGATCTCTTCATGCTGATAAAACTGGTATCAGCTCAGAAGGTATCAAGTCAATCAGAAATTTGAGAAAATTGACTAGTCTTTCTTTATCAAATAATAATATTTGTGATGAAGGATGCAAATTCATTAATATTAAGCAATTGAACTACCTTAATGTCAAGTCAAATCCATGTAATGCAGATTTAAGTTTCTCAAATCTTTACTCTAAAACCACATTATTTCCATAATAGAACCAGTTTCGGATAAATCTTATTTTATCCAGTCGATGTTGATTCATTTATTGCCTCAGAATTTCAAATTCCTCAATTTTTGCATAACTTGATGCTCTTTTGTCCTGTCTTACTGATTCTGACACTATTTCTATGTCTCTTTTCAATTCATCACTGGCATATTTAAGGGCTACTCCTTGTAACTTGACAACTGTTAACACGAATAGTCTATCATTTCTTAATGAAACATCTGCATATTCAAATGCTAGACCATTTTGTGATGCTGCAAGTAAAACTATCTCTCTATCTTTCTTGAGTGATTCAATCGCGTAACAAAGGGCTTTACCATTCTGTTTCACAGCCCCAGTTACTATTTCTCTATCTTCCCTTAATATCAAGTCAGCAAATTTTAAGGATTTTCCATTTTGTAGAACAGCTTTTAATACAATTTCTCTATCTTTCTTTAAAGATATATCAACGTATTGTAAAATAAGTCCATTTCTTTGTAGCGCCAATAGTACAAATTCTCTATCTCTTTTGAATACATCATTTGCAAGTGAAAACTCCCGTGGATTATATTTGATGGTGAGTAACAAGATATTCTTATCTTTTCTGTGATATTCCTTATAGACTGTTCGTGGTAATAAATGCCCAAAAGGAATGGAGGATATCACGCCTTGATGATTATTCCCATCTTCAATTATTTCTTTTGACATGATTAATGAATCAATATTAATTGATTCATCTGCATATTCCACAGCATCCACATTTTGATTTACAGCTACGGTAACTATTTCTCTATCTTTTCTTAATGAAGGATCAGCATATCTAAGAGCCCTTCCATCTTGTTTTACTGCCATTAATACTATTTCTCTATCACAATTCAAAGGATATTCAATAAATTCGAGAGCTCTTCCATTTGTTGACACTGCTATTAAAGCCATGTCTTTTTGTTTCTTAAATATTTCGTTCGCATATTTAAGAGCAGAACCATTTTGATGAATTGCCTTTCGTACTATTTCTTCTTCTCTTTTCAATGACTCATCAGCATACTTCAATGAGCATCCATTTTGTCCAATGGCAGTTTCAACAATCTCTCTATCTTTTCTGAAACGATAAGCTGCGCTTGCTAAATGCCAGCCATTTTTTCTGACAGCTTCCAATGCAATTTCTCTATCTTCTCTAAATGATTTATCAAGATGCCTAAAGATTGATCTACTACTACTTTTAACGGCCTCCAATACTATTTCTCTATCTTTCCTTAATTCAAAATTAACATATTTGATGGAATAACCAAACTATTTAACTGCTTGCAATACAATTTCTTTTTCGTTCTTGAAATCTTCTTTCGCATATTTGAGATAATATCCAAATTGTTTAACAGATTGTAAGGTTATCTCCCTATCATCTTTATCAAGTAGTTCAAGAGAGACACCAAGAGAAGCACAGATTAATTGAACATTCCTATTCTCTGCAAGAGCTTGATTGAGGTGATGAAATTGATGAGATAACATGATTGGTCCTTCAATCTGTCCATTTTCAGAGAATATTCTTTTCAAAATTTGTTGACAAGAAGGTCTATTCTCTGGATTCTCACTCAACATTTCCACAAGCAATTTAAATATAAAAATCCATCCATCTTCATCTTCCTCTAAATTACCTAACTCTATTAATTTTCGTACAGTTTCCACTTCATTAGATATTATTTCTCTTACCATAGAAGAGTATTGATCTAGATGTGTTATTCTGTTTTCATTTGTTGGAAAAAGAATAAACAGAATTAATCTAGCCAAACTCCAAATATCACTCTTGAACGATTCTCCCAATTTTGCACATTCAGGTGCAACAAAACCTGGACTACCATTAAGAGTATAACTCTCATGCATGTTGAGATCATTCGAATAATCAATGTGGTCCATTCCTTGGTTAGAAAACCGATCATCATTAGAAATGGCAATCCCAAAATCTGCCAAAACAACATCAATAGCACATATTTTACAATCAGTATCATGAAGTGAAATAATAATATTCTCTGGTTTGATATCTCTGTGAATTATGTTTGCCTCCTCAAGTTTACAAAGAGCATTCACAATTCTAATGAAAATTTGTAAAATTTGACATAATAAAATCCTTCCATTCTTGTTAATTTGCATATCTGTATAATTTTTCAAATCAATTCCTCTATATTTTGATACTGTCACAACCATGTCATTAAAATTATCCACAAAATCAAATGTCAATAAACTGGCATCATGTAATTCTTCTGAAATTTTAGCAAATTTCCAATCACCAACCGGACAATCATCAAAATCATCATCTTCTCCTCGTTTAACAATTTTTACAACATATTCCTGATTGTCAATGGATAGACATTTGCAAACTACAACATTGTTTCCCTTCTTAAATATTTGAATAGGAATATATTGAATATTATTAATGAAAAATGGTTTTCCAAGCCTGGAGAGAGCCTCGTATAGATTTTGATCATCGTTCGTACTTTGATGTTCAATCATTTTTTAATGAATTTATTCATAATTTTAGTGGCAGTGTTGCATATTTAAGTTGATTGTAAACCTCTAATTAAGCAACATACTGTATTGGATCAACATCATTCAGAATACCAAATATTTACTGTTCATAATTCCCAATAAGCTGAAATAAAAAGACTACAGCACCACAGGTTCCCAAGTTGTCTCCAACCTCAGTACTGATGTGGCTCGACGATGCTTAACTTCTCAAATCGGACGGGATGAGGTGCATTCATCGTGATATGGCCGTAGCCATTCATTGATTTAAAATGTTGAATATTAATGAAGAAAACTATGAGGTTATTTCTTGATGAATATTACCTGATTGGTTAAAGTTAGGAAATTCAGCAACATAACACGTCAATTGATGTGACGATTGAATTTCAACTCCATAAAAGATTAACAAATAAATGTTGCGTTAGTATGTAGAAATTCAAAAATTAGAATTAATTCTGTTGATCATTTATTTACATTTTGGCTATACAAGTATTTGATGTTTCATTTAAAGGTTCTATGCAACAATTCCATTTGATATTGTTGTTTTTCAATTTGCTGTAATTCAATTAATTTTAATCTTCTTTGCTCCACTGATTTATTATATTCAGATCTTGATGAAATCAATGGATATCTTCCACTCACGATTCGTTGAAGTGAATACTTTGGTTTGTTCTTTTCCCAAAAATCTACTTTTCTATTTGTTATTTCCTTATCCCGAACATAATCAGAAAAGTATTTCAGTTTACTCTCTTCCTTAATTCTAGCATCCAAATTTGATGGATTATTGGGATGCTTATTTCCAAACATTTTTTTTAAATTGTAGTTTATTTTGGCGGGTAAAACCATCAATTCTTTTAAAACTCACAAACACCATATGAGATAATATATTCAATCATATATTTGTATCTAAGAATGTTAAAATCAATAACAACTCGTATGTTCATTGTTTGCTTGCTTTCTCATTCAAGTGGAATCATATTTCACTACAATATTCAGTTATTCCGTTACACCACCAAACAACAGTTAAACTTTTCAAAGTATCATCACCTGTTGCAGCTGAGCATCAGTAGTAGTCTCTCAGCACATAACGTAACGGTTGCAATTTATTTTAAAAAAATTAAGGCAACATCATTCACCTCCAATCATTTTACTCTTTTGAGAAGAGTTATTGACTACAATATATAAAACTTCGAGGGGATTGATAGAAAATACGTATCATCATCATCGTTTAAAACTATTGTTGTTTAAACAGGATAAAATTAGACACAATCGTTAAACACAATTCTGTTCCTCACTCAGCCTTATTAATATCAAAAAAAGGAAGATTTAAATTTTGATAATAATAATTTTGCAATGTTTCCGCATATTTACCATGGTTACATTCCGACCAATCAACAGCAAATAATTAAGGCCAAAATTGATCATTATACATATGAAAAGGATGATGGATATTTTAACAAACCTTTAAATTCATCATCACTTTCTCAATCTACAAAGAGAGGTGATTCACTTAATTCAACAAATAACCAATCCGCCTATTTTGTAAAATCATTTGATCCAAAACAAAACACAACAAATACTACTATTACCATGAGTCATGCCACTCAGAAAACTCATAGTAATCGAGTTGACCAATTAATGAATAGTGTTGAAAAAGTGGCGCTTTCAACAACACGTTCTATCAAATCAGAACAATTATCAATTAGACCCAATTCTAATCAATTTATTAATAAGAAACTTACTGAAACAACAAGTGGAGATTACAGAACATATTCTTCAACGGATTTCCCAAAAAGAGTGACAGCTCAGCAAGTTGAATTTCGAAAAGGTCCACAAAATATTGAAAAGCATGAATATGAACATTTATCAACAAGTATTTCACAAAGAAACAAAGATGAATTATCTAGAATTCCAGCTTCATCCTATAACCCAAAGAATCACCTTGTAAAAACAGATATCAGTGAAGATTTCAAACCATCAACCATTACGAAATGTCCACCTGGTAAATTAGCTTTAACTCAACCAGATATTAAAACATATCCAAAACCTGAATGTGGACTTGATGGTCAACCCTCTGGTTATTCAACAGACTTTTCTATCAAGAATGATTTTCTTTCCTCAACTGCTGATATTGAAGGAGTTCATCCCCATTCTAAATTTTATAGAAGTATGGGATATTCTGGTTATGTTCCAGACGAAAATCATACTTCTCTGTATGGTAAAACATTGTCGAATAGTAGTGGCAATAACAAAACAATGAGTAAGAGTTTTGGTTCATCACTTGAGAAGAATACTGTTGCATTTTCAAGTACGAATGGAATGAATGCAAATCAATCTCTTTACAGAAATAATGGATCTCTTAGACAACCTCGATGTATTACATTCCAATCCAGCAACCATGGATCTAATCATTTGCCAGGATATGGTGGATTTATTTCGCCTTCAATATCTAGAGATTCCAAACCCCAACCTCCATCCAATACTTCTGATTACCATCTTGTAAATACAATGAAGAAAGCTGCCTCAATAGAGAATCCAAATGTAACACGAGAAGACTATATGAAAGGGTGGAAAAATGATTCACAATTGAAAACAATATTTGGTGATAATAAGGACAAATCCTACTTTAGAAATAATGCAATGTTGCGAGAATTTTACACTTATAATTATTAAATAAATTAATGTATCAATAAATTAAACGTAAAGAATATCTAAATTATTCTTCAAATTTGAAGACATCCAAACAACAAGAATTTGTTCCAGCGAGTTTCGTTAATTTACGCACACAAGAAATTACCTCAGTTTTGAAATTTATGTTTTTTATTATAAGTCGGAAATTTACTTCTTCTTTGATTTGGTGGTTTCAACAGCAGCTTCAACTGGAGCATCTTCCTTCTTGACAACGTAAATCATCATGTTAGAGTGCTTGATGACTGGCTTGATCAAATCCTTTTCTTCGAGGTATCTCAAACCCTTCTTGGCAACGCTACCAGTAACACCGAGAGCTTCAGAAACTCTAGCAATGGTGATCAACTTCATCTTTGGGACTTCCTTGACCAATTGGTTGAATGACTTGGTGTCGAAGAGAACCTTGTTGTTCAACTTCTCCTTAACTCTTGATTTAGACCACTTCTTCTTCTTTCCCTTTGAGCCGCTTTCTCTGGCTGCGGCCTTTTGGGCTTGAATTTCCTTAGACTTTCCAGCCATGTTTGTTTATTTTTTTTTGCAACGAAATTTTAAAAATTATTTTGTGGTTGGTTTATTAAAGTCAACCACTCTTTGTGTTGATTTTACAATAAATGTTTTCTCGTTGCAAAATTTAGAAGAGGGCGTTTGTTCAACAAGCGATAAGAACAAAGCGCTGAAGAGCCACACCTTCAATTCCTGCGAGAAACAATTCACAACATGAATACTTTCTGAACCACTCAAGAGAATAATAACAACCATTGTCAACCTGTTCAACGATATTGATTGGATTAAAAGATACTTCACTCAATGCTTCTCTCCAAAATAATACAATTTTTTCAACTCTACCAATACCTGCTTGAAGTAATAAGGAAAACACATAACGATTATAATAAATAAACTTTAATACATTTACAAATTATGAACTTTGATTAGTTTCAGAAGTGGTAGTAGTAGTAGTGGTTGTTTGTTGTGGCTCAGCATGAGTATTTGTAACTACAGTTGCAGTGGTGGTTGCAGTAACTGTTGGTTGAGGTTTTGGAATGAAACCCTTTTCAATTAAAGAACGAGTAACTTTAGATCTGACCTTTTCAATATTTTGCTCAATGGCAGGAACATCAATAATATCAAATTCATTATCAATCAACAATTCCAAAGTTGGTAATGTTTGAGATTTGTAAGTTTCCATTCTATTAACAATAGCTTCATCATTAAGATCATCATCTCTCTTTGAAAGATCATCACCTGTAATATCATCTTTTTCAGTATTTAATGGTTTTCTAAATTCAACATGATAGGTACGTCCACTTTTATCATGAATAAGTCTTCCTTTCAATCTTTCCTTTATACATTCCTTATCAACTAACAAGTGAAGAATGAGTGTATTTGGTTTTGAAAAATGGATATCACCTCCAGTAAACCAAGTTAAAAATTGTTTACATTGAGTAATATTACGTGGATAACCTTCAAGAATGAAATTAGGAGGAATTGGAGTGTTATCTTGATTTAAACTTGTTGCAACATTGCTGGATGAAGAAGTGGTTGTAGTAGTATTAACAGTACTCTCACTTGATTGTTCTTGTTCAGTTGTTGTTGTTGTTGTTGATGTTTGTTGTTCTGTGACATTTTCACTTTCCTTCAATAAGATTTGTTCATAATATTCCTTGTAAATGATATTCATCTTTTTTAAGAGATATTTAGCTGTTTCATCTTCTGGTGCCAATTTACCACTAGCTAACAATTCCTTTAATTGTGGATTAGTTTGACTTTCTTCTCTCAATGTATCACCTGCTGAAATGATATGATAATTTGGATTTTCTCCAGTAATAAATCTTGACTAAAAGATATTATCATCATGATCAGTATAAGACTCTATTTTAATAAATCCTTACCTGTGTTCCTTTTCCTGAACCTGGAGGTCCTAACAAGATGATAAGTTTTGGTGAAGCAAACTTTAAACCTCTTTGAAGGAAACGGAATTGTGTTTGATCTTCCTCTGTTGTTTGTTCAACATTGAAAAGAATTCTTCCGTAATGGAATTGTCTGATCAAACTATTTGATGATGAAGCAGCAGACAAAATGATAGAACCATTATTAACTGTTGTTAAATTGTTATGATGATGGTGGAAGAGAATGTTTGAGGTTGGTTTGCTAAAGAGTTTTCTCATATTTTTTATTGTTGATTGCCCAACCAAGGAAAGGCACAAGCAAAACAGGACTTCAACAACTCTAGTTGCAATGCAAAGAGAAAATGGAAAATCGGATGTTGTAGGACTTGCAAATATTTCCTCTTCTTACCTTGCTATTACAGTTAAATTAGAAAAATTCTCCTTGATAATAACCTTCTCGGAAACAGAAAATTGGATAGTTTAATTTCACTATCAATAATGAACAAAAGATTCGAAAGTAGTTTTTGAAATTTTTAATTATGGAGGTTTTAAATTTATTGTTCTGGGATCTTGAATTCAACAGTACCGTTGGTGATTTGTTCTTGGAGAGTCTTTGGGTTTTCACCAGCAACAGTGCAACCAATAGAGTAACAAGTACCCAAAATTTCCTTAACTGAACCAGCCATGGTCTTAGCGAAAGACTTGCTTCTCATGGTTCTAGCAATGGAGAGGACATCATCGAAAGAAATGTTACCGTTGTGTTTAATATTCTTGACCTTCTTTCTATCTCTTGGAGCTTCCTTCAAAGCCTTGATAACCAATGATGAGGCAGATGGGATGATTTCAATTTCAGCTTGTCTGTTTTGAATAGTCAATTTGACAGTGACCTTGAGACCCTTCCAATCCTTGGTGACCTTAGCGATATCATCACCAACCTTCTTGGCGGACAAACCCAATGGACCGACCTTTGGGGCCAAGGTGGCGGTAGCACCAGCTTCACCTCCCAAACATCTAACGAACAAGATCTTAACTTCACTTGGATCTGCTTTTGGTGGCATTCTGTAAATTGTTTGTTGGCTTCAACACATGATGGTAAAACTTACGTTATAGACTTTTGATATTTTTTTTCAACAAGAAATTTAAAATGACTCGCTACTTTGGTATTTTACAATGAAAATTTTTTCTCAACATTTTCTTTGCAACAAACACAACCAAGCAAATTTTGAGTTTTAGAAGAAAACCAACAAGTGTTTTCATAACTTTCAAGATTGAATATGAGTCTATTGTGTTGGGCCATGTCATTGAATGGGTTCCAATTGCAAGACTCAAACTATTTGCTTCTACTATTAAATGTTCAGCAACAACAACACACCGGAGTGCAAGGTGTTCAATCAATAATTGAATAAAAAATGAAAAGTCTACTTCGACTCAACAACAAGAACACTATTAAATTATCATCATCAACAAACACATCATCCAACATTGTGCACAACAATTCTAAACAACAACAACAACTTAATTATTCTATCAACTCATCAAATACTATTAAAAAATCATGTCTCTCATCATCATTATCATTCCGAAATAATAAGAATCTTTTAAATAATAACAACAATCAACAACACTATATTTATCATCAATATCATACTACTACCACAAATTGCAAAGATACACATTTAATGAATGAAAATTTCAATTCATCATCCATTCACAATGATCTTGATAATCCTAATCATGTCTATGATACAATTATAGTTGGAGGTGGACATTCTGGATGTGAAGCTGTTAATGCAGCACTTTTTCACAATGCAGATACTTTAATGATTACTCACTCTAAAGATACAATTGGAGTTTTAAGTTGTAATCCATCAGTGGGAGGTGTTGGTAAAGGAATTCTAGTAAAGGAAGTTGATGCACTTGGTGGTTTAATGGGAAAAGTTTCAGATTATGCAATGATTCATTACAATGTTTTAAATTTAAGTAAGGGACCAGCTGTTTATGGACCTAGAGGTCAAATGGATAGATACATTTATAGAAATACAATGCAAAAAGTTTTTAATGAATATACAATGAAACACAAATTGAAAATTATTGATGGAAGTGTTGATAATTTAATAACTAAAAATGGTAAAATTCAAGGAGTAATTTTAAAAAATGGTCAAAAAATTTATGCCAAATCAGTAGTTATTACAACAGGTACATTTTTGAGAGGAGAAATTCATATTGGAACTCAAGTACGTTTTCCAGGTGGAAGAATTAGTGAAATTGGTACAGAAAGAACATGTGGAAGTTTAGCAGATACATTTTACAATGAATTTAAATTTGAAATGGGAAGAATGAAAACTGGAACACCACCACGTCTTCACAGAAATTCAATTAATTGGGATATTTTAACAGAACAACCATCAACTAAATTTATTGAACCATTCTCATTTGAACATGATGAAAATACTTTTTATGGAACAAGAGTTCCACATTCACAACCTCACATGATGTGTTATGAAACTGAAACTAATGAAAAAACACATGAAATTATTAGAAGTAATACAGATGAATTGGCAGATGAAGTTAGATTTGGTAATGGTCCACGTTATTGTCCATCCATTGAAATTAAAGTGACACGTTTTCCACAGAGAACTTCACATCGTATTTGGTTAGAACCTGAAGGACATATTACAAATAAGGATGAAGCAAAGAAGCTACCATATAATCATTATGCTAATGTCATTTATCCAAATGGTATTTCATCAAGTTTACCTCCAGAGAAACAATTGGAATTTTTAAAAACAATGAAAGGATTGGATCAAGTTGAAATGTTACAACCTGGATATGCAGTTGCCTATGATTTTGTTTCACCTAAAGTTGAAATTTCACACACATTACAAACTCACAAATGTCAAGGTTTATTCTTAGCAGGTCAAATTAATGGTACAACTGGTTATGAAGAAGCTGCAGCTCAAGGTATTATTGCAGGTATGAATGCAGCAATTTACGCAAGAGGTGATAATGAACCTTTCATTTTAGATCGTTCTGAAGCATATATTGGAGTTTTAATTGATGATTTAGTAACGAGAGGAGTTGATGAACCATATAGAGTATTCACTTCACGTTCAGAATATAGATTAATGTTGAGAGCTGATAATGCTGATTTAAGATTGACTGAGAAGAAATTTGAACATGGATTGAATAGTAAATCTGATAAGGAAAGAAATGAATTATTACAAATATTAGATTCTAATAATTCTAAATTTAATAATAGTAGTAGTTCAATGAATGGTAAAATTGATTTGGAAAGTATTAATCCAACTCTAACAGGATCATCAATTTCACTCTCCAGATATGATAAATGTGTAAAGAGAAGAGAACGTATTGAAAATGTTCTTAATTTATTACATTCAGTTCAATTCACTCCAAAGATTTGGACACAAATTTTAAATGATCATACTACTGGTAATGATATTGGTAAAAAGAAATCAATTGCTGACATTATATCACAACAACATGTTTTATCATTACATGATGTTAATTTTATTGATTTAATTGAAAAATCAAATTATTTATTTAATAAGAAACAACAACAACAACAACAACAGGATGATGAGAATACTATTAATACTATTAATGATGATGATAATATTGATGAAAGCAATGATGAAATTATATTAACAGAAGAAGAAAATAATATTCAACAATTAAATAGTGAATTAATTTCACTTGCACAAGTATTAGGATCTAAACGTGATGAACAAAGTATTATATCAGAATGTAGATATTTTAAATTTTATGATCAATATCAAAGTGATATTGAACAATTATCTAAAATGGAACATTTAATTATACCAGATACTATATATAGTAATATTAGTACTGAATTACCACAAATTTCAACAGAAGAAAGAACTAAATTATTAAAACATTTACCAAAAACTTTAAGAGAAGCCTCAATGATTTCTGGAATTAGACAAACAACTTTAATTTCTCTAATGCAAATTACAAATTCAAAATTAAGAAGAAACAATTATCAACAACAATATCAACAAGAATAAATTATATTGAAGTGTTTTTAAGCTAGTGTGAGTAAAAAATCAAACATTAAATTTTCATCTCAAAAGTGGCATCTACATTACCATCCTTCAGACAATGTATTAACTCACTATATTCATTGCATTGAAGTGAAACAGAGAATTTCAATTTAGAAATGATGTTTTTTTTGAAGAAATTAAGTAAAATATAAGTTTGTTGGGAAATGTTGAATAGTAATTGAACAATTTTTGTGAATATTTATGTGTGAATATTATTTTTGTAAACGATTAATGTCATAAAATCATTTCCATTCTTGTTTGTGATTTGTCTTTAATCAAAACGAAAATAGAAAATATTGACAATTCTCCAACACTATCAACCACCATTCAATACCATTCAACATTACATCTATTAAATACTTTTAACATCATTACAATAGATAACATAAAATCATCATCAATATCCAATGAATCTTATTAACCGGTTGTCCACCTCCTAAATAAGAATATTATTTCTCTTCCCGTTGACCTTGTTGACAAATCTCTGAGGTCCACAAGCCAATCAATCATTCACTGTTGTCTTTCTAAACGTCAAAAATATTTTAAAAAACACAAAAACAAAGCTCATTGTCATTCTTCTGTGTTGTGTGATAAATTAGCCTTTCTTATTGTTGTTGTTGAAATAATAATTTTTAAAGCCTTTTTCTTCTTGTTGCACTTGATATTTTTCATTGATCAACATTCTCATATTGATAGTAGATAATTTAGTTTCGAATATTATCAATAATATCATTTTGTGATTTCAATATTCTACTATTCTTTAATAATAATAATAATAATAATAATAATACTACTTTAATAACGTACAATAGAACAACAATACAAACTTTAGAATAGAAGAAAATGAAAAATTCCGTTCTCTCACTTTTTAAAAAGAAAACCAATAATAATAATAATGAATCAGATGATAGCAACACAACTCCATCATCACCACATAGTGGTAGTTTCAGCAATCTTTCAGATTTGTTACAAAGTGGAAGTTTAGTTTATAACTCACTTCCTGAAACAACTCTATCCTATGGTCATATTCAAACTCCTTTTAATGTATTCGAATTGAATAGAAGAATGTATCAAACTAATTCACAAGTTTTATTACAAAAACAAAATAATTCATCATCACCTGCCACCCCAAATGGAAGTAACAATAATAGATTGAGTTTAAGTCAACAACAAACATCATCACAACCAATTGCTTTAACTCCATCTCTATTAATGGGTAAGAGAAAGGAATTGAATAGAATTTCAACTCAATCACCAACTGCTGATATTACTCCACGTTCTTCTTCTCCTTCCATTACAACAACAACAACAACAACAAATATTACTACTACAAATACTTCTAATGGTACAAATGCCAATACAAGTACCAATAATAGTTCAGCAACAACACCTTCAACACCAATTGCCACTACTACTTCCAATGAATCAACTGCAACTACAACAATTACACCAACAATTAAAACATCAGATAATGTTGTTACTACTGCTACTGCTACTGCTGTTTCATCAATTGTCAAGACAGCTTTGAGTGATCAAGAAAAATTAATTGGTATCATTTCAAGTTATCTCGTTCCACATAAGGATCATTTGAAATCTAGAGAATGTTTAACAAGTCAAAACTTAATGTCAGTTTTAGTGTTAAATAAGAAATGGAATTCAATTTTAATGGCAAATGATTTATCAACTATTAATGATGATGTTGTTAAATTGTGGGCAATTTTAGTTGAAGAAATGTATGAACCTGCTGCTAATATTGAAAATGATCATATGAGTAAGAAATTTATTGAATTGTGTATGTTTTTTATTTATTTATTTGATTTATTAACTATTGACTCTTTAAATACTACTTTACAATTTTTATTAACACAATATTTACAAAAATATTGAATCTACTTGACAATTGTCTTAATATTTACTTTGGTGTGTTAAAACATTAATGATCTCTTGACTTGAACTGGATCTGCTTTGCCTCTTTGATGTTTGACATGTGATGTCTTGTCACTTGTGACCTTCCACCACAACGTTTCCAATCACCAAATGCTTTTTACCACGCGCTTCAAAAAAACTATTCATCTTACCAACAATCCGTTTCACTTTCTTTACTATTACTCCTCTCAATATTTTGTCCAACAATTAACACTCAATCATTAATTATTAATTGAAAATGAATGTATTTGATAAAATACAACCAAATTCTGGTTCTGTTCCGCCACCATCATCAAATACAACTAAACGACCAAAATCATTGGCTGCCATGCTATCTCGTAACCGTTCTTCCACTTCCAAATTTGATAATTTATCAACAACAATAACAAACAATGATGATGATTCGAATAATACTGCTAATACTACTTCTGAAACCAATAATAATACTACTACCACTCCTATCAATGATGACGACAATACTGCCTCTCCCTCCATCACAACAAACACCACCAATACGACAACACCTACCTATACTCCTACTACTCCTCCACCACCTCCGCCTGCTGCATTGAAACAACGACGAATTTCAATGGCTGCCTATACTCAAAAACCTTCAACAACAACAATTAATACTGCCAATGATGATAATAATAATGATAATAATATCAATTCACCACCATCCATAACGACCACTTCATCCTCCGTAACAAATATTGATATTACTAATAATAATACTACTCCAATGGATCTCTTAACAACAATAGATTGTAAACAAAATAATATTGAAGTTGGTAGTAGCTCTGTTCCTAGTACTCCAACCACCACCACTGGTAGTAATGTCAGTACTCCAACTGGTACTAAACCAACTACTGCAACTGCAACAGCAGGTAATAGAAAATCACAAAAACCAGCTGAAGTTTTGAATCCACAAGATTTTTATAGTGTTGATCTTTCACAATTGACTTATACACCTGATCCAGATTCGAGTATTGTCATTCAAGAGAATCAAATTGAACATGCTTCATTGAATAAGTTGATTGAAGAATTGACAAGTCACACTAATTATGATATTCACTTTTTGCATACATTCATGTTAACATTCAGAAACTTTACTGATAAGGAAACAATTCTTAAAAAACTTGAAGAGAGATTTAATTATCCACCAAATTGTCCACCTGAAGAATTTGCAACATTTAAACGTGAAATTCTTGATAAGGTTAGATTGAGAATTATCAATTCAATCAAATATTGGATTGAAAACTTTTTCGTTTTCGATTTTGATAGTGAAATGATGCAATTCTTATCAAAATTCATTGAAATGGTTAGAAAGTCAAATCAAAATGCTCTCGCCAAAGTTATTGAAAATACTTTAGAACGTGTGAAGAATAATGACTCTGGTAAAGTTATTACAAAGGTTGAATGTCCAGAAATTTTAAAGTTAAAGAAGAAGGTTTTCAGTAAGAAAAAGACTTATTCCATTCTTGATTATCCATTACAAGAAGTAGCACGTCAAATGTCATTAATCGATTATACCATGTTTAAAAAGATTGAACCTAAGGAATGTTTGAATCAAGCCTGGAATAAGGAACACCGTGTAACTAAAGCTCCAAATATTTCAAGAATGATTCAACATTTCAATCAATTTTCAGGTTTTGTTGCAACTGAAATTTTAAAACAAGAAGATCATGAAAAACGTGTTAAATGTGTTGAAAAGTTTATTGAACTTGCCAATCATTGTAAAGGACTGAACAATTTCAATGCTGTTTTCAGTGTCATGTCAGGTTTGAACAGTTCATCTATCCATCGTCTCTCAAAGACATGGGAAGCAATTAGTGAAGAAGCTAAAAAGACTCGTGAAGAATTACTTTCCATTACAAATACTAATGGTAACTTTGCAAACTTGAGAAATATGCTTAAAACTGTTAATCCACCATGTGTACCATATAATGGTGTATTCTTAACAGATTTGACATTTATTGAAGATGGTTCACCAAAATATATTAATGGTCTCATCAATTTTGGTAAATGTAGATTATTTGCAAAGGTCATTCGTGATATTCAAACCTATCAAAATACCAGATATAACTTTGAAGAATATAAGGAATTGAAAGATCAAATTGAAGCTGTTGAAAAATTATCTGATGATGAATTATTTAACATGTCACTTCAAGTTCAACCAAGAGCTCAAAAGAAGAAGAAGGTTGCTACATCAACTGCAAATGCATCAGCTTCATCTTTGAAGGAAGACGATGAAGAAAATGAAAAGAAACCTGAAAAGTTAGATTTTTAATTCATTTTCTCTCAGTTGACTAGCACCACTAAGAAGAAGAAGATTTCTCAAAGTTTGTATTTTTATTAAAAAAACTCATTTGAATTGTTTTCAACTATTTCTTCCAAGTTTTCTCAAATTATTCTTCCCTTTCTTTTCATACATAAAGGCACTTACGGGTGAGATAATTTTAGAAACTGTAGATTTACCGCCATTTTAAACTACAATAACAACTTTAAAAAAAATGTCCAACACAAACAATAGCAATGGAACATTTTGGCAAGATAGAGAAATTAGATTTGACTCGAATATTGAGGCCGGGTAAGTAAAGTTGCCTTGATAATTATTTAATGATCATCCGATTAGTGATTTGAGTCTTAAAAAAGGTGAATTTGAAATTGATGTTTTGGATAATGTAGAAGATACCAAAGGTAATAATGGTGAGAAGGGAAAATGTATAGTAACAAACCTGAGAATGATTTGGATTTGCACCAGAAATCCTAAAATCAATCTTAGTATCGGATATAATACAATGGTTAATATCAAAATTCAATCATCAAACAGTCGTTTAAAGGGAACAAATCAATCCTTATATTTATTGACTAAATATCACGGATCAAGATTTGAATTCATCTTTTCTAACATGGTCAAGACAAATCCCAGACTTTTTTCAACAATTCAAGCAGTGTTTAAAGCCTATCAATCAAGTAAAATGTACAGAGAAATTAGATTAAGATCAGCAATTATTAAGAATAAGTGCTTGGATCTTCTTCCTAAAGAACAAATATATACTTCATTGAGTGGTGTTTGGAATCTTAGTGCGGATCAAGGTAACTTGGGAACCTTTATTGTGACAAATATTAGAATTGTATGGTTTGCAGACTTGGCAGAGAACTTTAACGTCTCAATTCCATATTTACAAATTGTAGGTTTTATGAAATTAGTGTTTTCTTACTAATATTATCAAGAAATCGGTTTCGTTTAGGGAATCCAAGTTTGGTAAAGCATTTGTGGTGGAAACTAATAGAACATCAGGAAGAGAATTTGTGTTGGGTTTTAGAGTTGATCCAATTGAAAAGTTTAATGATTTGTATAAGGAAGTTTCTTCACTTCATCAACTATTCTCAAGTAATCCAATACTGGGTGTGGAATATCAAGCTGAGGAAAAACAAGCAAGCCTTGAACAATTGATGGTTCCAAAAACTTCAGAAACAATGAAATATGTTGGTAATAAGGATACATCAGATCCATTAGCTCCTTATTATGTGGATTCTTCTGAACGAGTTGCTAACACATCCATCGGATTCAGCAATGAATTAGGATTGGCTTGTGAGGAATTGAAGGATGGAATGACAATTAAGAAACTCTGGCAATGCATTTATAAAGTTTAATTTCGAATTTATCAAAAATTCATCTACGATTATTCCAACGAATGAACCACACATTAATCTGGCTTACTTGCCTTACAGGTTGCGTACTAGAAATCGCGAAGGGACCACAATAGGTTTCCGATAAGCTGTGTGATGAAAATCTAGATTACTCGACCAATAGGCGAGAAGGAATGACGCTGCATTCTCTGTATTTTACAATGGTTTTCCACAATGGTTTTCGCCGATGATGAATAGATTAATTGTTATAATAACAAGTGCACGACCCCACCAAAAAAGCCTTTACTTTAAAAAAAATGTCTTCATCAACAACACCAAAGCTTATCGGAAATACACCACTCTCACAAGCCGATCCAGAATTGTTCGACCTCATTGAAAAGGAAAAAGAAAGACAATGGAAAGGATTGGAATTAATTGCTAGTGAAAATTTTACTAGTCAAGCTGTTATGGATTGTCTAGGAAGTTGTTTAACCAATAAATATAGTGAAGGACAAGTTGGTGCTCGTTACTATGGAGGTAATGAATATATTGATGAAATTGAAAAATTATGTAAAACTAGAGCACTTGAAGCCTTTTCATTAAACTCTGAAGACTGGAGTGTCAATGTCCAACCATATTCAGGATCACCTGCTAATTTTGCTGTTTATACAGGTCTTCTTCAACCTCATGATAGAATTATGGGACTTGATTTACCAAGTGGTGGACATTTAACTCATGGATATTATTCTGGAAAGAAGAAGATTTCTGCAACTTCAATTTATTTTGAAAGTTTACCATATACTGTTGATCAACAAGGTTTAATTGATTATGATGGTTTAGAAAAATCTGCACGTGTTTTTAGACCTAAACTTATTATATGTGGTGGTAGTGCATATCCACGTGATTGGGATTATGCTAGATTGAGAAAGATTGCAGATGAAATTGAAGCCTATTTAATGTGTGATATGGCTCACTATTCTGGTTTAGTTGCTACTGGTGAACATAATAGTCCATTCCAATATTGTGATGTTGTTACTTCAACTACTCACAAATCTTTGAGAGGTCCAAGAGCTGGTATTATCTTTGCCAAGAAGGCTTTAATGCCAAAGATTGACTTTGCTGTCTTCCCAGGTATTCAAGGTGGTCCACATAATCATCAAATTGCTGCTATTGCAACTCAATTGAAAGAAGTTAAAACTCCAGAATTTAAACAATATATTCAACAAGTTAAAGCTAATGCTAAGACTCTTGCTAAAGCACTCATTGAAAAGGGATATACACTTGCTACAGGTGGTACTGATAATCATTTAGTTTTATGGAATTTGAGACCACAAGGTATTACTGGTTCAAAGATGGAAAAATTATTTGATGCTGTTTCAATTACTTCAAATAAGAATTCTATTGCAGGTGATGCTAATGCATTGTCACCTTTTGGTGTTCGTTTAGGTACTCCTGCTTTAACTACAAGAGGTTTTAAGGAAGTAGATTTTGAAAAGGTTGCTGAATTCCTTCACCGTGGTGTTCAAATTGGTTTGAAATTACAAGAACAAGCTGTTTCAACTAAATTGGCTGATTTCTTGGCTCTATTTGAAAATAATGAAGAATTAACTCAATTGAAATCTGAAGTTGAATCATTTGCTAAGCAATTTGGTATTCCAGGATGGAATATTGAAACACAAAGATATCATTAAATTATTAAAAGTAGATTAGAATATTTTTATTGAAAAATACAGTTTCATACAAGTTACTTGTTTTTTTCGAATAATAACAAAGTTAAAATACCGTCTCTAAATATTTGCTGCAAGTGAGGAAATTGAACAATTCAAAGCTTGAGAATATACAGATGAGTTCATTGTAAAAAATTCAAATGTCCACTAAAAAATGTGCTGTTAACATCACGTGATGATCAATTATTGAATAATGTCCATAGAAACTATCCATCCTCATAACCATGAAAATGATATAAATATATCACTCATAATCCAATAACATAGTCAATTAAAAAACTATAGAAAAAACACTCAAAAGATGAAAGTCTGTGTCACTGGTGCAACTGGCTTTATTGCAAGTCATTTAATTTATCAACTCTTATTAAAAGGTCATCAAGTGAATGTAACAGTTAGAAATTATCAAAAGAGTTTTACAGAATTATTCACTTCATTATTAGATTATGATAAAAGATTTGGTTTTAATCAATTGAGTGCAGAACAATTAAAACACAATTTAATTGGTTTTCAAGCTGATTTAACAATAGAAGGTAGTTTTGATAAGGCAGTTGAAGGATGTCAAATTGTATTTCATCCAGCTTCACCTTATATTTGGACAGTTGAAGATCCACAACGTGATTTAGTTGATCCAGCAGTGAATGGAACACTCACTTTATTGAAGAGTTGTTTCAAGGAGAGAAGTAAACAATCTGATAATGATCCAAATAGATTGAGACGTATCATTATGACCTCTTCAATTGCTGCTCTATGTGATACTCCTAAAAAGGATAAAGTTTATGATGAAAGAGATTGGAATGATGAATCTGCACTCAATAAGAATCCATACTATTATTCTAAATTATGTGCTGAGAGAGAGGCATGGAAATTTATGAATGAAATTGAACTTAAATATGGAGCTGACTTTTTAGAATTTCTAACCATTCTACCAAGTGCAACTATTGGAAGACCAATATTTCCAAATCAAGTCAATCAATCTTATGATATGATTACCAAGTTGACTAATGGTGATTTTCCAGCTATTTTCATGATGACATTTGTTTTTGTTTCAGTTAAGGATATTGCACTAGCTCATATATTAGCAATGGAACATTCAGATTGTTTTTCTCCATCTAAAGGTGAAAGATTTATTGTCTGTGGTGATTGTACTTCAACAATGAAAGATACATGTGAAATATTGAAAGAACAATTCACAGATATTGGTAAATATCCATGGATTAAGAATATTCCATCACTTTCATTGGAAGGTTCAGTTGGTAATACATTGGCTAGATTTGCAGGTTTATTTCAACCTAAAGGTGTTAGACAATTACTTTCCAGTAATATTGGAAGAAAGACCATGTTAAGTAATCACAAGGTAAAACAAAGATTCAGTATGAAATTCATTGATAGAGTTGAACCTATTAGAGAGAGTGTTGAACATTTACTTTCTTTAAATTTAATTAAACAATAAATATTATTTATTAATTATCATTCACTATTATTCATTATGCATGTTATGAAATTAAAATAATAAATCATCAAATAATACTATTTCAATTTTTTTAAAATCAAAATTTACATCAAATAGTCTTCCGATAATTATCATCAAAAAGCCTTCATTCCAATATTAAATAAATCAAAATTACAAAAAGCTAATTCTTTTACTAAAATTAACACTTAATTTGCTTCAAACCATCAGCAAAGAAGTACAATTGAGTAGTTTCACCGTCATCGTTATACTTTTGGAAAACAACCATACCGTTATCAGTATCCATTGATTCACCCATGTAGAACTTATAGTTGGAGAAATCCTTACCAACTTGGTCCATCAAGAATTTCTTGAGTTCTTCATTGAAAGACTTCAAAGCATCTTCACCCTTGTTGGTTTGGATCTTCTTCTTCAAAGCAGTCAAGTATGGAGTGATGGTAGCAACACAATCCTTAATCTTAGCAATAGAAGTGAGTTCTTGCAATCTGAAGGTTTCGACAACTTGGTCAACATCAATAACGTTATCTGGCTTGTTGTCCATGGCATCGAAGGTCTTTCTGTCGTACAAAATGTCTTCATCGTCGTCCTTCTTCATCATCTTGGATGAGACGTTAATGATGAAACCACCAAATTCAGTCTTTTGTGGGAAAGAGTCTGAGAACAATTCGTCATCAGTGAATGCGTCAGTAAAAACGATCATTTTGTAGTCTAGATATTTTTTTCAAAAACAAAGACCAAAAATTATTACAACTTCAACAACCTTGTTTACGCGTTGCAACGGAAAGTAAAACAGCAACAGTGGAGATTTGCGTCATGACAACATAGCAGGAAGATACTTATTTGAGTGGTGAGTACCAGTTGCAATGTCGAATAGGATTTCTTCAAACACATTACAAAATTTGGTTGGTATGACCTCAGTTTATCGCTTTCAAATACTGTAAATTGTAAAGAATAGTTCTTTTAAGACAAACCAATACTTTATTGTCCTTACAGTACTCATGTGATTGAGGGATTGGCAAACTTGCAATAAATCCAATAATGTTGAGTTACCATGAAAGTCAATAAGATGATGTAAATGTCAACAGACAATGCTGGTTCCAATTGGAAAACTTCTCTAAATAATAAATTGTAAATGAATTTGAATACTATACAACAAATATATTTAATAATATTAGATTTTTTAAACCTTGCTATATTCAAGCTTGGTTTCTAACTTCTTCATGTCCATCATCTTTCTGACAGCCTTCATAAAATCTTCCTGTATGACATAGTCTCTCTTTCCTCTTAATGCAAACATACCAGCCTCAGTACAAACGTTACGAAGGTCAGCACCGTTAAATCCATCAGATAATTTTACAATAGCTTCATAATCAATTTCACCATGTTTGGTAATACTACGAGAGTGAATCTTCAAGATTGACAATCTACCTTGTTCATTTGGTAAAGAAATTTCAATCTTTCTATCAAGACGACCAGGTCTCATCAAAGCAGTATCCAAGACATCAGGTCTGTTAGTGGCCATGATAAATTTGACTTGACCAACATCATTAAAACCATCCAATTGATTCAAAAGTTCCATAAGAGTTCTTTGAATTTCACGATCAGCACTAGTACCTTCGGAAAATCTTTTACCACCAATGGCATCAATTTCATCCATGAAAATAATACAAGGTTGATGATCACGTGCATATCCAAACATTTCACGAATAATTCTAGCACTTTCTCCGATATATTTATCTACAATGGCACTGGCCACAACTTTCAAGAAGTTTGCATCAATATTACTGGCAATAGCTCTAGCCAAAAGTGTTTTACCTGTACCTGGTGGACCATAGAGCAAGACTAAAAAGAATAAATACATTTAAGTATTTCAAATAACTTACCTCCTTTAGGTGCCTTGATACCAACTCTGACGAAAATTTCAGGATTGATTAATGGAAGTTCAATAGCTTCTCTCAATTCTCTGATTTGTTCATTAAGACCACCGATTTCTGCAAATTCTGTTTTATCTATCTTAACATCTTTAGATTCAATCATATTAAATACAGAAGGATCAACTTCACGTGGTAAAATTCTCATAATCGTCAGTGTTGTCATATCGAGGGCAACTCTGGTGCCTGGCTTTAATTTAGTCTTTTCAATCTTTTTTCTAACTCCTGTAACATATCTAGGACCACTACTAGCTTTAATAATAAAACGTTCATCATCCAATTGTTTCAAGACTTCACCAACAATTTGTCCAACAGATTGAAGAGCCTTGAGATCATCTTCAGTCTTTTCATACCTCTTTTTTAAATCCTTTTGATTTTCTCTAATCTTTTTTACTTCGGCTTCTAATTGTCTGTGTTGAGCAAGTTTATCAGCGTATACATTGAAAGCCTTGTTCCTTCTTTCGTCGATCTCCATTTTGTACAAATTTTTCTGAAATAAATCGAAAGAGAGGTGTGATGGTTTTTCTTTGTTGTATTTTTTTGATGTAAGATAAAAATAACTTTACTTTCCATCAAAGCTAAGAATATACAAGCTGGCAATTTGAGAAAAGAAATTAATTGAGTGAAAGAGGAACTTTAACAGCCTTAATACAACTTGAAGCAATACATCCAATAAAAATCAATATATTATGTAATTATCATTTCAATTTTGATAGGAATGAAATAAAACAACAACAACAATATAATATTTGAATTTGAAAAAAATGTCTCAACAATTACACAGATATTCTCTTGCACTCTATAAAAGATTATTAAAAAAGTCACAGGAATTTCATGTGAGGAATGAACCAGGACCTAATAGAAGTTATCGTGTTAGTTATTTAATTCCTGGAAATAATTTTCATGAATATTTATCAGTAGAAATTAAAAAACATTTCAGACAAGCACAAAGGCTTTTTAAAGAACAAAAAAAGACTTCGGAATGGTTTGAACAACAATTTCAAGATGGATGTTTAATTTATAAAGGATTAGAAAGAGCAATGGAAGATGGATATAATCAAACTCATAATAAGAGAAAGGCTATTCGTTTAAGTCCTTTTATTCATATATTAAAGGCTGCTTCTGGTGAACATGGAAATCATCATTATCATCAAAAATTGAAGGAAATTTTCATATTAGCTACTTTAATGACTTATCAAAAGGCTTCCGAACCTATTACACAACAAGATTTACAAAAAAATAATACTACTATTGAAAAACAACATTCAAAATAATTATAGAATGAACAATACCATGAAGAAGAATTATTTGGAAATTTAAATGATTTTTTGAAAGTACATGATGATAATATATAGTATTAATTTAAAATTATAAAAGAGAAGAAGAATACATAATTATATCATCATATAATAGGAGGATGATTAAAAAAGAAATGAAAATATTTTTAATTGAAATAGTAATAATATAATAATAAATAATAATTATTTAATTGATATTTAATTTAATACTGTACTAAAAAAGAATGATAGAATTTAATTTTAATAACACTGCAAATGAACCATTCAATTTCTCCACATGTTTTAAAAAAGAATTAGGAGTTTTTACAACGGAACTCTCATTAAATCTCACACATCACATGCCAAAACAATTTGTGTCAACACTAAACCAACACAACAACCACATGTGTGTGCAATTAATTCATTAACCCAATAACAATTAATCTAATATATTAACAAATACTCTACTAATCCTCATCAATCATCATATAATTCCAAGTAAATTAAAAAATATGGGAAATAATAAATCACGTACAAGTACATCAATATTTGATGATGAAGAGAAGGAATTTATCTATAAATTACCACTCAATCATGATAAATATTATTACATTGCAATCTATAGAAAAATAGGAGAAGAAACAACATTTAAACAAGTTGTTGATTTTAAATTATTAGATTCAAATTCAACTAATTATCCATTTCATAGACAAATTGAAAATAGTGTACTACCCTATGTAGGTGATGATAGTAAAGAACGTTTAATGAGAAAACATTCAAAAGTTACTTTATCTTCTAATTCTAACACTACTGCTACTACTGCTACTGCTACCTCTACATCTAATACATCTACTACAACAACAACAACACTATCTTCACAATATATATCATCATCAACTTCATCTAATGGATCTTTATTATATTCCAATAATAATTTACTATTAGAAAGTAAAAGAATATATGATCCAATATATTCAACAATGGAAGAATATCATTTTCTACATCCTAATAATGATTCATCTACTATTAATATAGATGTTATTGTTATGAGAAGAAATGGTTTTGATGATTCAAATAATTCTAATAATTCTAATAATTCTAATAATTCATCAACAATTGCATTAATTGGAGCAGTTTGTGATATAGTTTCAAAAGAAGAAAGATCTTTATTCATGTTTAAAATTAGAGATATTTGTATAGATGTATTAAATCAATGTTATAATAATAGTAATACTGGTAATGTAATTGATAATTCAATAATTTCAATTTCTAAAGAAGATCAAGCTTTGAAAAATTTAACTGATTCAATTATTAAATTAACATCTTCAAATAAGAGTGGTCAAGATCAGTAATATTTACAATATTACATAGTATTATTTATGTAATATTGTAAATATATTAACTATTTCAATTGACTACTACTATTAACATGTAAAATATTCATATGAAATTGTAAATATGAAGAACAATAGAAAATGAACAATGCACTAATGAATACACAACCCAATTTTGTCTCAATTCAAACTAAATGCATTTTCAATACATGTAAACTCAACACACAAAACAATAAAAAGAGAGAAAATTAAAATGATTCGAGTCAACTCACTAAAAAAGATACTACTATTCATTGTAATGAATCCAATTTGAGTTTGTGACGGAGGAATTAAATATGTTGACTCTTCGAATATAATAAGAGTGACACAACACGAATCCACTCTAATTGGAGATTGAACGGAATAGAGAGGAACGAATCCTCCACCGAGCTGAGTGAGTTCTTTCCAGTTACATTGATTATCAATAAACAACTGTCAATTTATAATATCTTGAATGTGATTGAATCTCTTCAAGTTGGATTACTCGTTTGAAAAAAAAAGAAACAACATTCATCACCACATACTATATATTACATATCATCTGTTTACATTCAATATTTAAATAGTAATAATAGTAATAATATTACAATAGTAGTAATAGTCAACCTATAATAATATCATCTATATATCTAACAATAACATTTTATTCTATTCTATACATCTCTAACATCTACATTTAATATTATCTAATAATTTTAATCTAATAAATCTAAATCTAAATATGGGAAATAATACACATAAAGAAGATTTATTAAAAAATTGTCCACATTTTCAAAATGATTCCAATTATAGTAATGATTTAATAATTGAATTAAAAGATGAATCACCTGAATATAGATATGATTTTTATGATAGAAATAAACAATTACTTGAATTTCACATATTAAATCAACAAAAATCAATTTTATTAAAAAAAATTTATGATAAAAAAGAAATTTTTAAATTAATTTTTAAATATTTAAATATTAAAGATTTATTTAATTTATCATTTACTTGTAGATTATTATATATTTATTGGACAAGAGATGATGAAATTTGGAGAAATTTATTACCATTAAAATATAAAAAATTAATTTTAAATTTACAATTACCATATTCTATATATGGAATTAAAACATGGAAAGATTGTTGTAAAAATATTTATTGTAAAGAAATGTGGAAAAGATTACAATTAAAATATGATTTTATTAATGGTTCTATTTGTAATAATTCTATAAATGGATATAATTCAAGTGATGATGATGAAGATGATGAATTTTCAATTTTAGATGCAAATTCATCAAAGAAATGTCAATCAAAGAAATCTGACAAGTCATCTAATCAACAAATTCAGAATTCTATTGAAGAATTGAGAATTCATTTTATTTGTAATGAAAAAAAACAAGAACGTTATTTAAAAAGTTTATTAAAATATTGTAAAGAACCACAAGATAATAATTATAGATTATCTAAAAAATATTCAAATTATTTTGATAGACGTGTTGCTAGAATTAAAGAAAAGAATTTTAATTCTAATAATAATTCTAATAATACTTCCAATAATAGTAATAATAATAATAATTCTAATAATGGAAATAATGAATATGAAATTCAATGTCTTGTTGGAAGTTCAGAAAGACCAAATTGTTCATGTAAATTTATTTTAATTGATTTATCATGTGATCAATTAAATAATTTAAATAATTTAAATGAAAAAGAATTAATTAATAATTATTTAAAAAATGATTTAGATTGTGGTGAAACTATTAAAGAATATTTAAATACTATAAATGGAAGTAATGAAAATAATTTATCAATTGTTATTGTTGGATTAAGTTATGAAAGAAAGAATAAAATTAATCCAAATATGATAAAATTATGTAAAGCATTATCAAATGAATATTCACTTCCATATATAGAAATTGATATTGGAAAAAGAAATCAAAGAAGAAATTTACTTTATTTTTATTCTGTTTATTGTCATTCAAAGAAAATGACAAGTCATCAATTAACTTTTTTAAAAACTAATAATACAAATGATGAATGGCTATTATAAATATAGTATTCAATAAATTAAATAAAATTTAATAAAATTTAAATTAATATTTTTTTAATAATTTATTATAAATTAATATTTTTTAATAATATTTTTATTGTATTAAACATTGTTTTTTAATTTTTTTAGAATTTAAAATTAAACAACCATTGACAATAATTTCTTTACCATAATTCATTCCATATCCATTTTTAGCACAACATTCCCAATATGTAATACATCCTAATTGTTTTGCTAATTCTTCACCTTCTTCAGTTGAAATAAAATCTTTTTTATTTCCACTTAAAATAATATCTTCTCTTAAATCATATTTACATCCAATTAATATAATTGGTATATTTGGTAAATGAAATCTAATTTCAAATATCCATTTATAGAATAAATTATTAAATGATATTCTATCTACAAGTGAAAAACATAATAATATTAATTTACTATCTGGATAACTTAATGGTCTTAATCTATCATAACTATTTAAGAAAATATTTAATTAAAAATATTAATTTAAAAATATAAAAAATAT